GGGGGGGGGGGGGGGGGGGTAGGCCAAAAATTTCCCAATGACGAAAAAAATTTCCGAATATTTCATGGCATACGAAGCCACGAAAGTGTTTGCTATCCGGAAAATGAAGACGCAATTTACAAACAAAAATACGCATATTCTACGCACAGACATATTACAGTAGCTGTAGGAAGCTCTTTTTGATTAGGGGGCTGAGAACGAGGGCCGAAGGCCCGAGGAAATTTTTAAATTTAGACTCTCCGGAATGCCATTTCCTGGACTTTGGGGGAAGTTTTGACAGAATTCTGATGGTCAGAAAACAGCGTTTTAGTATGTCGAAATTTACAATTTGTTTACAATTTAGTAGTACTAAATGGGCGAAGGCGTATTTAATTAACTATATATTGGAGACGTTGCAGGAAAGTATGGGTAATATGATTCTTTGCAGTTTGTCATGGATAATGTAGCCGCTTAGAATTAATCAATTGTCAGTATTTTAAAGGTATATTATTTAAATGATAAAGGTATTCATGATTTTGAAAAAAGAATGATTATTAGCAAATTATTGAGAGGGCTGCATTCCCCCAGTCCCCCCCCCCGGTTGCTACGGCCCTGAGAAGTAATAAACCGAAAAATATTTACCGGTTTACGATTTGTTAAATGTTAATAATAATAATAATAGTCTTTATTAATCAATACTCGAAACACACGTCCGAGTTTACATGGAATTATAAGAATATAGTCTATTTTACATTAATTGTTTACATCAATAATTTAATAAAACTAGTAAAATTCTACAATATTGTTAAAAATTATTAAAATGTGTCATACACTAGATAAAATGGAAAAGACATCTATTTACAAAAGATTTTTGAAATCTTTCAGTTCTTACTAAGGGCAGCTCAAAGTCATGTCCCCTTTGCCTTAAAGTTCGATTTAATTTATTTGGTAAAAGTCCTCTTAGTGCATTATTTTCATCATCTAATATTTTTTTCCATAATCTCTTGTCTCTCTTATTAATTATTTCTCTAAAATTAGATTTCTCTGTTACATACCCATTACGGTATATGCACGATTTATAAACTTATCAATCTGACTAATGTATTTAGTGTAAGATGCTCCTCCCCAAAGTTCAGTTCCGAAAGTGAATAATGACATTATTAAACTCTGAAAGAGAAGTTCTAACTGCTTTGTTGTAAAACCATAATATTTACACACCCGTAAAATATACATTCGTCCACTCGCTTTTTTAAGCATTGCTTCTTTAAGCATCTTCATCCATGTAAATGCCATGATTTCGTAAATCAGTTTATACTGACAATACAATTATATTTTCTCTGTTTAACAACTAAAATTTTGTTATACTATTATTGCCGTAATTTTCCGAATGGCCAACCCGATTTTCCGAATATGTTAATTCTAAAAAAAGTTGGCGGGGGGGGGGTTAACCCTCCCAATACCCCCTCGCTACGGCCCTGAGTTTTTCACTTCATCACTTTATCGTAATTAATTCACTGTCAAAGAATTAGTCACTTGCCAAAAACATTTACCAAAGTGGCTCTGAAGGTTCTCTGGATCACTGTCAAATTCGGATTCCCCAATGGCAATGCTTAAGTCACTGGCAGAGTCAATCAGAGTTATCTTCCAGGAAGATTCAGAGCCGCTGACCATTTGCTACGAAATTCAAGATGGCGACGAGAAAACAAATTAAGAATGTTTATATTATCGCTTTTTCGACAGCAACTTAAGAAAGCAAGCTATGTTTGGTACTATATATTATTGATCTTCCGAAATAAGTGATTGCTTGAATTCCAATTGGAACATAACAAGCATCGTGTTGGTTCGCTTGTACCTTTGTATATATTTTTTCCTGTGACCAAACGAAAAGTAGCCGGCGGTAAAAGTTCAAGTAGCCGGCGGAACTCCGCCGGCCGCCGGCTTATTCTGAAACCCCTGCCCCCCTGGAATATACCTGGACATTAGCAGTTTTTGGAAAGAAAGGGAAAATTCCCGGCCGCGGGGAGATAGCAGGAGGGAAAATGTATGCCCCCCCCCACAACTGTTAGGTGGCAAATGTCCCACCCCCAGGATTAAAAAAAAATTGTTTTTTTCATCAATATCGTTTAATAAAAATTGCGTAATGCATAGCAAAAATTGCATAATGCACGGGGTATAAACCATCCAACTTTATCTGGTATTAATTAAACTTTAATTCAGTAACCACGGGCAATAGGACAGGTGTAGTGTTGTTAAATAGAAAGTTAGAAATGGTATTGTACTTACTCATGTATTATAATTATGTTTAAAAGATCAGAATATTCATAACTTCTTATTTTGTTTCATAAATAGTTCTTTAATTTAATATTCGAAACAAATTCCATATCTGCTTCGTCTGCCATCGCCATGTTTACTCGTCCCAATCTACATGCTGCACGGCATTGCCGCCCCTCCTGGCAAAATAATAAGCAAGCGAGAAAAATTAAGGAGAAAATAAGAGGGTAGGAACATCGTTGTCATAAGCTGGATGCAGTGACACTTCCATATATGGCACAAACGTATCCATAACTTCCATATATGGCACAAACGTATCCTCGACGCGTTTTATACACTGGTTTTATAACGTTTTATTTGACGTAGGGATGACGTAATGCTGCTTCCCGCCTATGACAATTTGAATTAGTCATGTGATACAAGATTGCAAAAGCCGATTCGCCCAGAACGATTACACGCCCACGAAACGCTCACAGTGTTCCTACCCTCTTATTTTCTCCTTAATTTTTCTCGCTTGCTTATTATTTTGCCAGGAGGGGCGGCAATGCCGTGCAGCATGTAGATTGGGACGAGTAAACATGGCGATGGCAGACGAAGCAGATATGGAATTTGTTTCGAATATTAAATTAAAGAACTATTTATGAAACAAAATAAGAAGTTATGAATATTCTGATCTTTTAAACATAATTATAATACATGAGTAAGTACAATACCATTTCTAACTTTCTATTTAACAACACTACACCTGTCCTATTGCCCGTGCGGTAACAGTTTATTGTCAAATATTATTTTGTATTATTAACATTGGCAGGCTTTTTTGAGTTTTTTTCCCTAGTGTCAAATGTCTGGGGGTCTTTTGGCCGCCAGACAATGTCCGGCCCCGGTGCACTAATCTGTAAGCTAATGCACGACCCCCGGGAATGGCGTTCCCAGCAAATGCCCGGGGGGGGGGGGGGGGATGGTTACTCATGGAATTGACGCATGCATTAACTCTCCAAAATTTCAAAATAGTAGTTTTATAATTTATATTTATATATCAATATCAATTTTGGCTCTTGAATTTATTTGTAAATTTGAAATTATTCGTATTAAAATATAAAAACTCGATGAGAACTTTACGATTGCTGAAATTTACTTACACATTTATCAACACATCCAACAAAGTCAAGCAACTCTTGAGCACAGTTCTCCTCAGTCTTCTGTCTGCCGTTCACTCTACTTTCACAAGTATCAAATTCACTTTTCAACGCCATACATCTAGACATTTCTCCACATTTCTCTCTCAAAATATCTTGAGGATCATCAGGATCCTCTTCTTCTTCATCATCATCGTCATCTTCGTCTTCATCTTCCGATTCTCCTCCGCCTTCTTCATCGCCATCTTCATCACCACTCACCTCGTCGTCTGCCGGGTCCTCATCATCATCCTAATATTTTTCATCAAAATAAAACATTATTTACATATATTATTTCCCTATTTACATCCTTCGTATCTGAGGTATCTGAAAGTATATCTTTGCAAACCTCTAGAACGTTTTCAAACTCGTCTGGAGCATTTTCTCCCAAAGTTACGGCTTCCAAATTTTCTCCACCGGCAACCATCTTTGAACGTGGGACGTTAATCAGCCCGCAATCCGGGAAATACCTGTCCAGTTTTACCCGCAATTTTCTTTTAGCCTGTCTTTTCCACTAAAAAGAGACTGGGACTAGGAATAAACCCTGATATGTATTGAGGGACTCCCCTATCACCTCAAATTGCTATAAAAATCTGCTTGGCTTTTGCATTTCTTCAGAAGCGCTTGGCAGGGCAATACAGGGTACAAGGTAAAAAAGGTAGTCTGTATCGCTCCAAATTGCAAGAAAAACAATTCTGGGTGAAATAGGTTCCACTTTGGTGGGCGAATCATCTAAAATAATGTAAACTGTACGACTACAACAAGAACCATTTCTATAAAGAAGGATTTCAAAACAACGACGTCATCGCATCGAAATTTATTTGGAGCAGGTTTCGTTTTCCTCGTTCTATTCGAATCTTATCTTTATCAAGGCTATTGGTGTAGTACTCACTAACCAGCAAAAATGGGAGTTGGATCTGGATCTCCAGCCCCTCTAAAGAAGGTGCAAAGAGTTCAGTTTGGGATATTCAGTCCTGATGAACTTGTGAGTATTGATAAATTGATTACAAGAAACATGCTTCTGTGATCTGTGCATAATTGCATAAATTATCTTATACATGTGACTGAAATTTCTATGCAAAGTGCAAATAAGGCATTAGTCTTTGCATACAATGAATGCAATGCATGTAACAAGGCATTTTCCCCAAGCGTATAACCCTTAATTAAAAGTGCTTACGTCACGCAATATTCAATCCATCAAAACGTTAATAGATATATGCAATGCAATGTGGGTCAAATATTCCAGACTGCAGAGTCCGGCAAGTGCACACCCGAGATTTTTTTGGCCAATGGTATTGCACACTTACCACATATTTCAAATGTTTTCCAGTTTTGTCAGGCATTAAAATAAGGACTTCTAAGACAAGTGTAATATAACAACCACCTGAAAATCGGGAATGCTGATTCATGGGCACAAAAGAAAATTCTATCTATAGCAGAGTTTTGCGATCATCAGGTTGTCATGACTGAACAAAACCGTATAGCATGTAAGCATGGGCACACGAGAACTTTAAATTGGTCTGATCAAATATTTATTGTCTGACAGTGATGTGACGTAAGTGCTTTTAAGGTCAATTGGCAGGTTGCAGTCAATCTCAATTTATAAGACAAAGACATGGTGGCCATGTTGGAGGAAAACACACTCTGAATACAATAGCAGCCAACAAGATCTTCCAACATGGCTGCCATGACTTCAAGTATACTGTACGTATGTGACATATGTGTTGCATATGCAAGATATGAACCTATCCAGGGGTGTACATTTAACAAATTCCTTGGAGGGGGTGGTTGTGTGTTTTTGAGACGATTTGGGACCGACTTTTTTGTCTCAGTAGATGTGTATGTGAGCCCCCCAGATGAGCTTTGGCTTTTGGAGCAAACATCTAAATAAAGTTTATATAATTACCCCTTAAAATGTGTCCCATATACCTATCATATGCATGCGTACATACAAATCATGCATGATGAACATCTTGTGCTATGTGTAACATGTCTCATATACAATTTATAACCTGTATAGTGTGATATATGTATACTGGTAACCCATATCTGATTGTGCGCATCATGGCTCGAAAAAATGACCAGCAGGTCGGTGATCAATTTGACTGCATGGTCAATTTCAAAGTGGCTGGTCATTTTTAAAATGAGTAGTAAACAGCAAATACTCAAAATGATCCGTATTACAGTGCGTCTACTGTAAGTGGGGCCACTAACGCCACTTAGAGAACACTAACCAATCATATTGCAGAACAAAAATAGAAATCTAATCAAACTAAAGCTCGTCCAATCAAAAGAAAGCATGGAGTTCGCTTCAGGAAGCCAGTAACTGCAGTGTTTACTTTTCAAGTCTATTTTTACCATTTGGCATTTGTTCAAATTGTTTTTGGCCTAATGCTGATTGGCTGATGTACCGTTTGTTGATTTTTTCTATTTTTGTTCTGTAGTGTGATTGGTTAGTGTTCTCTAAGTGGCCCCACTTACTGTAGACGCACTGTAATTAATGAGCGACGTATGATAAGATTCATGTTGAAACACACAATGTAAAACAGTCACTGTAGTTATTGTTACTACTACAGTAACAGTGTTTTGTGGTGGGGGTTTTTTTGGGGGAATCTAGGCTCATTATTAAATTAAACATGCAATCTTTCTCTGACAAAATTTCAGCAGAGATGCAGAAGAAAAAATTTACAATTCTAGTGGCAAGCATGCAAATGTGACTGGTCAAACAAAAAAGTGACCAAGAATTAGATACAATTTCGGTTGTTATTGTGAGCCATGCACATACCAGTATCATACATTAATATGATGTATATGAATAGCATACCTGCTACACTGACAGTGACAAAACACTTGTTATAATGCGCTTTGCACCTATATTTAAATAATTCAGGTTGACTATCCTGCATGCATATGTTGGAAACTTAAATTCACCCTTGCAATGTGTCCACTATGTAGGATTCTGTAAGTATGAAATGCTGTGCTGAGTGGTTATATTACTACCTTAAAAAATAAGCAGAAACTCAACATTTCGAGCAAAGGCCCTTCGTCAAGAGTTAGTTAACTTCGTCTCTAACTCTTGACGAAGGGCCTTCGCTCGAAACGTCAAGTTTCTGCTTATTTTTTAAGGTACAGTCGAACCTGTATTAAGCGGCACCGTATTAAGCGGTCACCCTTTGTTAAGCGGTCATGTGGCAAAGTCCCGAAAATTTCATAATATAAATACTAGTTAAGTGACCTTTATTGAACGGTCACCTCTATTAAGCGGACGCGGTCACCCTTTCCACGGTCCCAAACTTAATTTTTCATTGTTTTGAAACTGTATTAAACGGTCAGTGGAAAGTAACTACAGCAAACATGAAACATAATACAATATATTATTATAATTAAATCTTTATTCGGCAAAATGTCAAAGTTTTAAGTTGTGTTTATCTCATTACTCGAACTGCTGTGATCACTAAAAGTGTCAACAGTCTTTTCAGTCTGTGTGGACGTGTTATTCAAGCAATTTAAATATTTCTTGTGTCAACTTTCCCTTCAGCCACTGACACGAAAATGTATCTCCATGAAAGTGATACTCACACGGAATTTCTAAGCAATAACCACCACCTCTGTTGACACGCTTTCCTTTGACGATTATTTTACCAGAATTTGTCTGCCGTTTTAAAAACTTTGTCAGCCATAGTGCCATAAGTTTCGGGCATCGAGTTTTGGTTCCCAGTCGTCCATGTATACGCATGATACCCCCGAATAAATGAACTAACTCGAAGTGTTGCTCTATTCCTTTCAGTGTAATTTACTTTAGTCTCAGATTCTGCAGCATGCATGTTTATACTTTATAACCAGAATGTCGGTAGTGTTTTTGTAAAAATGAATCAGCTGGTAGATTGCCCAAATCGCGTGTCAAATTTCACGACACTCCCTTATTTCATGTTTGGCCAGACGCTGTCTGGTTTGAAAAAATGCTTTTCTGACGATGTCATATTAAAACAGTGCGAGAAGCGATGGAATCCAGTGATGAATTGCAAAAAATTGCTCATTGCTCGTTATGTCAAGGGTGAATGACTTGTTGAGTCAAATTAAACTGAGCAGTCTGCAACAACAAACAAAAATTCATGACTATTTTTCAGCGGTTTAAGCTCTGACATTTTTATTTTACAGTAGTACATGTAGTCTCAACTCAGAAACAATTCAGAAACAATTTGCAGTTTTATATACTTTTTAATTGGTTACTTGGTATGTGTATTGAAATATATTACTGTTTAGTTCAAATTTAGTTATATTAAATGTTATATTTAAGCCGTGTGGTGATTTTCTACAAGACCTGTATTAAGCGGTCAACCTGTATTAAGCGGTCACTTGCGAAATCCCCGAGGGTGACCGCTTAATACAGGTTCGACTGTAGTAATATAACCACTCAGCACAGCATTTCTACATTGGTACTACCTACACTGGTACAGACAGTTTTAGTAAGTATGAAATGACATTTACAGTTTAATTTCTTCCTAGAAACAAATGTCAGTGACCGAGGGAGGAGTAAAATACTCGGAAACAATGGAAGGCGGAAGACCAAAATTGAATGGCTTGATGGACCCTCGTCAGGGATGTAGTGATCGTTTTTCACGATGTCAGACATGTGCTGGAAATATGACTGAATGTCCTGGTCACTTTGGGCATATTGAGTTATCAAAACCTGTTTTCCATGTTGCTTTGTTACCTAAAATTATTAAAGTTTTACGATGTGTGTGTTTCTACTGTTCTAAGTTACTTGTTGATCCGGTATGTGTTTATTAGTGTTTTTCAATATTTCCAAAAAATTAAATTTTTAATCTACTATATTAAATTGTGTGTAATCATGAAACATTTTGAAGATTCTAAGGATTGTAATAATTTTATGTTGACTTTCACTTTAGCATTCTTACAGAATAGTTCCTTTTATTAGGAAACATTTCAATGTTTCCTTTCAGTGATATTTACTCAACATGTTTATTTTGTCCAATTTGAAATGTACATGTAGGACCATCCAAAGATCAAGGAAATCATGTCAAAGACGCATGGTCATGCAAGAAAAAGAATAGTTCATGTTTATGAACTTTGCAAAGGAAAGAAGCAGTGTGAAGGTGGTGATGAGATAGATGAAAAACTTGATGGGGCTGGAGGAGATGGTGAAGTGAAGAAGGTAATGACTGCTTAAAAGATGGTGTTTTTATTAAATTAAGGTTGTTTTTAAGTGGTTTATTATTATTTATTAATTAACCAATTGAGTACATGGCAGCACTCTCTCCTTGATGAGTAAAATTGTCTGGCAATAGACAGAGTAAAATAATAAAGTATATGGCTCATCAGGGTGCATTGCCACTTCATGGCTATAGGACCGATTAATATAAAAACATGTTCCAACTATTAGTTTTATCATGATAAACATGAAACAACTAAAAACATTGTCAGTGGTTCCTGCTGTACATGCATTAATTATGATCATGACGATCATTTTGATTGCCATTTAGAATGCTAATAATTTCATTGTGATCAAAAATAGCCAATTACACTCTAAATTTCAAGGAGTTGAAACAATTCCAGTTTAGTAAATGTTTCAAACACTAAATTTCTTTGTTAAATTACCAAGAATGCAAGATTTGGTAACCCATAGGTTATGCTATCTTTACTCAAGTTCTTGAATTTGAATCCAAGATTAGAATGACTCAGACAATAGCATTACTAATCTGTTACAAATGCAAATGAAGTTTTTGGGAAATCAAAGTGAAGCGACCAGCAAATTAGACTTTTTCAAAGTCAGTGTTGCGGTATCAGTTGATCAGAATTCCTATTCAACTCTGTAATATTGTTGAGATATATTGATCAAATGAATTTATATTCAAATTTGGTGCTATGCAATCGAGTGTCACATATCATAGTTAATCCAATACCAGTATATGGTTTGGAGATCTCGTTATCGACGTTGAATGGTCTTGTTTTATGTAAACATTTTGGTCTTGTTCATCACTTGGGTATTGTTATTTTCATCCAATCAACTAATAGCAGTCTTCAAACTAACGGATTCTTCAAGTCATGAATGGATAACTAGCCCAAAATGTTTCGGTTGGTTAATTGAATACAATACTGTACACATGACGAGCAAGGACCAAATTTTTGCATAACCCTAGACAAATTCACAGGTACGTTATATTGTACTTACATCCAGTCTCCAAAAATTCTAATAACTATGGTCACATATTGATTGTTTCCTGCATTTTGTTTGTAGGGTCATGGTGGTTGCGGTCGTTATCAGCCACAAATCAGGAGGCAAGGTCTGGAACTGACTGCTGAATGGAAACATGTGAATGAAGATTCCCAAGAAAAGAAAATTATCTTGACTGCAGAAAGAGTTCATGAGATTTTCAAAAGAATTTCTGACGAAGAATGCACAATAATTGGTATGGATCCTCAGTATTGTCGTCCAGACTGGATGATTTTAACTGTGCTACCTGTACCTCCCTTACCTGTACGACCCTCTATTGTCATGCATGGTGGAAGTGCTAGAAGTCAGGTATGGAATTGTTTTTATCATTGGAAATCCCAAGATTAATATTCACCCCTAACGTTTTTTGAAATGAGTATAAAATTATGTAGTACCTATTATCAGCAATTAACACCAGAATATGAATGTTTGGACATGGGGTCCGTAGGTGCAGTTTGTAGTTGAAGGTTCCAATGCCTTGCTGGCAAGTAGCAAACAATTCTGCAGAGAATGTACTGTATACTAATAATACTGTTTTCGATCTGGACAAGTGTAACTTGCAAATAAAGTTCAACCTTAAAGTTAAAGTGGAAGTCAAGTCCGTTCTACGCATTGGTTCTGCTCATAACAATGTGAGGACCCTCTCATGTAAACATTGCCCAAATTTCGAATGTTTCGAATTTTTCTGAACATAAACTCTATTTCATATTCATTTAGAAGCATAGCGAACCAAAATGGTGTTAGATATTCAGACAGTACATTATATTTTAAAAAATACAGCAGTTCAAAATGTAAACGAACCGTTTGTTTACGTTACAGACTTGACTTCCACTTTAACTTCACATAAAGTAGCCTTGTTAAGGTTAGCATCAATGGTATATCAGTTTGTGTATAATTTGTGAGCGAGGCCTAAAACAACAAAGCTCTAGGAATAAATCATTTTAACAATGACATTCACTGCATTTCAACTAACAACAAGACCTACATTGTATCTTTGGAATATGTATAAGAAATTGAGAAACTTTGTTAAATCGGCCAAGTCCAAATACTGCTGCGAGTTAATTGAACAAGTAAAGGTGACTCCAGCAGGATTTGCAAGGAGGTTAACGAAGTTTTGTCACGCGATAACAAGAGCTCGAGCCCGCAGTACATTGTCGCTAATGGAGTAAAACACTCAGACTTCAAATCTATTGCCACTGCCCTTAACACTTATTTCGCCTCAATCGGAAAATCCTTAGCTGCAAAGTTTACAACTGTCTCACAAACGTTTACGGCAACTCCCACTCATGTCCCGGAAACAATGTTTGAGTACGAGAATCCTATGTTCTTGCACAACTCCAGACTTTAAAGACTAACAAGGCCATCGGTTTGGACAAAATAAGCGCAAGACTCTTAAAATGTGCGTCTTGTTCAATCAGCAAGTCTGTCACGAAATTACTTAATCTTTCCATCAAGAGCAACCATTTCCCAAAGATTTGGAAGTGCGCTAAGGTCACGGCCCTATTTAAATCAGGCAAACGTTCCAATCCTACAAACTATCGTGAGTCCTATTTCGGTTTTGCGGGCCTAGTACTCTAATTAGTAAGATCTTAGATAGAACCGTTCACTCGCAATTGTATAGCCATCTAATTACTAACAACTTGCTCACAAGCAAGCAGTTTGGATTTCGACAAAGGTACTCAACCATCACTGCCCTGACCAACTTTGCGGATGAAACTCTGAGCAACATGGATTGTGGAAGGCTTTGTGGAGCTGTATTTCTAGATTTGTGGAAGGCATTCGATACAGTGGACCACAGTATCTTACTCCACGTCCACAACCTTATAGCGATGGGTGTGTCATCTAGCACCGTAGGTTGGTTTGAGTCCTACCTGAGCAATCGGATGCAACAAACGTCTTGTGGAAGTGAATTGTCGGACGCTCTTCCTGACACTTTTGGAGTATCTCAAGGGAGCATTTTGGGTCCGCTTCTCTTTCTCGTGTACATAAACGACCTGCCTAGTATTACCAATAAGTGCAATGTTTCCTTGTATGCCGACGACACAGTTCTATATTGCTACGCCTCAGATGTCAATGATCTTCAAAGAAATCTTAATGAAGATTTACTTAAGTTAGCGATTTGTTTAAATGAGAATAAACTGACACTGAATTTAAATAAAACTCGATCAATGATTATAGGCAGTGATAGGAAGTTATGTAATATGTCTTCGATGTCTGTCTCTGTCAACAATACTGAAGTCTCCAACGCCAGGAATTTCAAGTACTTAGGAGTCACCATCACAGCCAACTTCACCTGGTCAGAACATATAGATCGCATTTCCGCTAAAGTCAATCAACGCCTAGGTCTACTTCGTAGGATTAATTAAACACCTCTCGCCTGCCATTTAATGCACGAATTATTTTTTATAAGGGTCTCGTACTCCTATGCAATCTTTCATCTTTGACTATGCGGATGTTATATGGGGAGACAAAAATAATACAGTGCTAATGAACAATCTTCCATAACATAGCCGCCAAGATTGTTTTAGATAGACCACTTTTTTCACCGGCAACATGCAGACGCGTTAAATACTTCGATAAAGATAAAACTCTCTAGTAGTATTTCTACATTTAGGAGAAACTTTTTCAGCAATCTTTGAACTTCCCTTGTATAATTTTTATATATCTTTCATAGTTATATGTAGTACATATATGCATGTCTTTGTTTATTTAGTTCAGGACCTTTCTGAAAATCACTTCGTGAGAAAGCTTCCTGAAAATAAATATTAATTAAAAAAAAACAACAAAAAAACCCCCAACTTGAATTGTATTATACTGAGTACAGTATGTTTGTTTTCTTTTAAGGATGACTTGACTCACAAGCTTTCCGATATAGTCAAATGTAACAATGGTCTTAAAAGAAATGAACTGAATGGTGCAGCCGCTCATATTATTGCTGAAGATACAAAGATGTTACAGTATCATGTATCAACGTTATTTGATAACGAAATCCCTGGCTTACCAAAGGTAAAATAGACTTACAATCCACGTTGGATACATATTTTTAAAAACTTCATATTCACTTATCTTTGGTTTTGGGGAGTAAAATGCAAACGGTTGGTACTTGTGTGATACGATCCCGAAATCATGACTTATACAATCCACGCTGGATAAATATTTTTAAAAACTTCATAATTATTCACTTACAGTATCTTTGGTTTTTGGGAGTAAAATGCAAACGGTTGGTACTTGTGTGTGATAATAGTACGATCCCGAAATCATGACTTATACAATCCACGCTGGATAAATATTTTTAAAAACTTCATATTCACTTATCTTTGGTTTTGGGGAGTAAAATGCAAACGGTTGGTACTTGTGTGATACGATCCCGAAATCATGACTTATACAATCCACGCTGGATAAATATTTTTAAAAACTTCATAATTATTTACTTCAGTATCTTTGGTTTTTGGGAGTAAATTGCAAACGGTTGGTACTTATGTGATAGTACGATCCCGAAATCAGGCAACCGAGCTGCATGGCGTGACCTGCAAAATAGAATGTCATCCATATATTTATATTTATGCAGCATACAGCCAGTATTTTCATCGCATGTGTTTATCTTCTATACACAGTACACACTAAAGCTACATCGATCGATTGTGGAAACATTATTTGGTTCCGTTCACTTCAGACTGGGACGAAGTAAGAGCGTGACGAATATCGAAATTTTTAATCTTGTGCAATCCAGTGATCCACAATCAATATTTTTAGTCTTGTCTGTAGCATATCTCCGGGCAGAAAATATTTGATGTTTATATTCATGTCGTTGTGACTTAATCTTGTGTGAATGGTACTTTATATCAAATCCAGATGCTCTCACTTTCCTATTTTCCTGACACGTTTATATTCCGAAACTGACTTGTCTGTTAACTGCAATTTAATCATATCTGCATGACAATTATCTGCATAAAATATTTCAGGCAATGCAAAAGTCAGGACGTCCTTTGAAATCTATCAAACAAAGATTGAAAAGTAAAGAGGGTCGTATTCGTGGCAATCTCATGGGAAAAAGAGTCGATTTCTCCGCTCGTGCTGTAATCACACCTGATCCAAATCTTTCTATTGATCAAGTCGGTGTTCCTAGAATGATTGCACAGAATTTAACTTTTCCAGAAATTGTAACCCCTTTTAATATTGATAGGTGAGTCATTACTTGGCGTGTATATACAATGTATTTTATCGTAATGTGTATATAATTATCCTTTACCAGCAGACAGTTTCGCAAAATATAAGATCAGGTTTGACAATGACTTTGAATTTTGTTATCTTGTTTAAATACTAGCTGGAATCTTGAGTTTACAAAATGTTAATATTCGGAGTGTGTTTCATCTTGTGTAATATATTCATAGTGTATACAAAGCATGCAGTGAATTTAGAGATTTTATGCACTAACGCGGTAACGCCACTTCACAGTTATTATCTATGTATTTTAATTGGGTTAATGGGTAATGCTTGTAATGGCTGACGTTCATATCTCGCCATTTTTCTTACATGTTTAATATGTAACATGCAATGAAGAACATTTTAAAAGCATCTGTAAGGCGTTCTAACAGTTTCTCCCAAATGTCTCGTTTCATCCAGGTTATTCAATTTTCCTTTCCACAGAATATTTGCGTTCCAGAATACTTGCGCTATGCCGAACATGGCAACTTTTCCACAATAATACATGTGTGTGTTCAAATTTACAGCATGCAAGAACTGGTTCGTCGTGGCAGTTCTCATTATCCCGGAGCAAAATATATCATCCGTGATAATGGAGATCGGATTGATTTACGTTTTCATCCAAAACCCAGTGATCTACATCTACAATACGGGTATAAGGTATGTTAACTAGTCACTGTACACTTCTTTTTTTATTAATTTCCAACTCAAGGCATTCCCTAGCCTTTCATTGTTTATTTTGAAGTTGTTTAGGACTAAACTAAAAACACCTGTGGTTCCGGTTCCCGACCGACCCTATTTTTTTCTGCCGACCCTAGTATTTTTTCAACGCGATTGACCGTGCGACCCTATTTTCTCCGGGTGGTTGCGGGCTTCTGCCAAAATGGCGTCTGTTGTCACACTAATTATTGAAAAAACCATGAAAAAAATATTTAAAAAAAAAAGTTATTTCCGACCTACCGACCCTAATTTTTTCACGATATGAAACCGGAACCACAGGTATTTTTTTTTACGCCAAGGCATGTAATCCCGTATAAACCCTTCAGAGTATATACCAATAGATAATTTTAAAAGATGAAAGTTTTGTAAGGTAATTTTTAAGGTGTTGAATGAACAATGGTGTATAATGTTTTAAAAAACGTCCATACAGCATATACATACTGTATTGCAGTACAGTATATGCCCTGTCTCCACGAACAAATCATGAGAAAAGCTTACAACCGAACATACAGCCCGGGGCTTGTAACGATCGATACGAAAGTGGTAAGGTTTTTGTTGTTGGCAACAAGATGTGATGTAACAGTTGTGTTACAGCTTGATATAGAATAAGCTTCTCATTTTCAGGTGGAACGTCACTTGAGAGACGAAGATTTGATCGTATTTAATCGTCAACCAACATTACATAAAATGTCTATGATGGGACATCGCGTTAAAGTCCTGCCTTGGTCCACGTTTCGTCTCAATCTCAGGTGAGTCCTATTTTTTCCTTGGTTCAATTGGTTACTTCTATACGTCATTATAGCATCATACACTGCATCTAGTCATTATGTGATTGTAGGGCGTGGATGCATCGTGGTTCGTCGTGGTTGTAGTATTACCGTTGTTTTTGCTCGATTTATTTTGCACTAAAATCTTACTGCTAGTCTGCTACCACATTGGAATCTTTTCCCACGAACACCTCTCTAATACGGACACCTCTTTAATACGGACAGCTATAAAGGGCACCCTCATAAATAAAAAATAAACTGACATGTGCATTCCCAGAATGCAGGAATTTGCCATTCTTGAGATCCTAGGTGACCTGGACACTAAACTATGTTAGGTACTGAAGAAATTCAAGAGTATAGAAATCAATTTTCTAAAGATACACATGACGTTGGGGAATCACTAGGGACTCAAAATTAAAATTTGCTCCTGGACCTCGACGTTTATCAGCGGCCTTGTACATTACCATTGATAGTTTCTAATGAGGACACTTTGCTTTGTCCCTTTCGTGCCCTTATAAAGGCTCGTGTGTAATTAAATAGTGTAACTTACAAAAATGCCAATTTCTTGCACAGTGTGACAACACCATACAACGCTGATTTTGATGGCGATGAAATGAACCTTCACGTGCCACAATCGCTTGAAGCACGTGCTGAAATATCAGAGTTAATGATGGTACCACGGCAAGTTATCACACCACAGTCAAACAGGCCTGTCATGGGGATTGTACAAGATTCACTCGCAGCTGTTCGAAAATTTACAAAGAGGGATGTATTGATGGAAAAGGTACAAGTTTCGTAAAATGTACATTTAAGCAACGTTTGGTGCAAAATTGACATATCTATTTCAGAATAACTAATGTGAAACTATCAATTCCTTATGCATGATAAGTTTACGAATCGTTGACTCGTACGTGTGGCATACATGTACGAACATTTCGGTGTAACTTAGCATATTAACGAAGTACAGTAGCTAAGATGTAACAAGTTTTGTTTTCAACTACTAAAATATTTGTTTTGAGCCAAAAATGTTTGATGACAGAAATTCGCGGCAGAAAAGGGTCGCCTACCTAAACCTTTACTTCTGTGTAATATCATGGTTGTCTCAATTTCTTTTGTCTTTTCAGGTTAATTTAATAACTAAATTACCTCATTTCGATTAATTTATACAATCTAGCGGTCGTATTAGAACTAATACAACCTTCAATGACATCATAGGAGGTAGTATTAGCTTCTTCTCACCTGGCATGCAAATGTGATCTACATATAAGGTCAAAACAACATACACACGCGTTCAAAACCACAACAACTTTTAATTCAAACACCTCAAATAATCTTACATTATTGTTTGTTAATATACACGTTTAAACTACCGATATTACAATTGGAAATAAACCCATTCAATAAACCCTTAAATCGTTCTTCCATCCTTCACGGCCAACTATCCAGTCACGACTGATAGGAGGAAATTTCGACAACCATGATATTGCAAAGTAATATGGTAGTGAGGTGTATTAGCCGTTAAACCGCCCACTCGTTTCGGTTCATTAAGTAAATTCCTTCGGGCCTGCGGCCCTCAGGAATTTACTTAATGACCCTCATCGAGCGGGTGGTTTAACGGCTAATACACCTCACTACCATGATATTACTTATAATAATACGTTACGAAATGTTCGCCACTGAAAGGGTTAAACATTTAACTTTGAAGGATGTCGTTATGAATTTGTTGATGTGGTTGCCAAGCTGGAATGGAAAGTTACCTGTGCCAGCCATATTAAAACCTAAACCATTGTGGTCTGGCAAACAGATCTTCTCAATCTTAATTCCTGGCAATGTTAATATGATCCGAGCTCATAGTACTCATCCTGATGATGAAGATGATGGTCCATTCAAACACATTTCACCTGGTGATACCAAGGTAACATTCTTAATTAACTCAGTGTGATGTATTCATCTATCTGTCATGACATTTTTGGTGGAGGGGAAGAGGGTGAGGTGGGGGTGGGGAGGGGGGTTCGTCAAAAGTGCTAGCTCCTCGTACTGTGGGCGTTTCAGATATGAATTTAATCGTGTACATCCGAAGCTATATAAACAGTAGTCCACATTGATGGTTTGGTTCCGATTTCATTTATCCTGCATAACCAGGTCTTCACCTTTGTTAAATTGGGGAAATCCAACCTGGAATTTGGTGAGATATAGTCGTGCATAGTGTGTCTGAACTACATGAAAAAGATGAAAAATGTTTAACCACACACGTTTGAAGGTAGTTCAAACACAAACCATGGCAGCTTAGTGTTATAACACTGGACCCCTGTTGTTTTGATATGTACCTGTATATAAAGAACCTGTTTTTCGAATTTCGTACTAGGTGTTGGTTGAAGATGGTGAACTGCTATCGGGAATTATTTGTAAGAAAAGTCTGGGAACGTCATCCGGCAGTTTAGTTCATATCGTCGCGATGGAACTAGGACATGAGACTGCTAAGAACTTCTATGGAGAGATTCAGACTTGTGTTAATAACTGGCTGTTGATTGAAGGACACAGTATTGGTATTGGAGATTGTATTGCTGATAACGAAACATACGAAGTCATCCAGAAAACAACGAAAAAGGCAAAGGTATGGACTGAATGAAGTGTTTTTGGTTACATCTCGAAATCAAACTGCATCTAATCCCAAACTAAACTCCTTCAAGGCCGGATTTTGGTGGAAATGCTGGGAGGATTTTTCCGGACGGTACCCCCGTACGCTTGCGGCTTGGGCTGAGAACTTAGCCCCCTGAAGTCAACTACCTGACATATGCATGTACTGTTCATAGCTATCAATGTATTTATGAATTATGATCGTACTACCCATCCAATTTCCTCCCTCGCTACAGCACTAGGTAGTTTCCTTCAAAGGGCAATCATTTCATTAAAAGGGCAATTAAAGGACAATTTCAATTTCTTATAGAAGAAATTTGTTACAAAGTGTAGAACCTATAGGCAACGTATAAAAATTTAGTAACAAAAATGAAAGTTAATTGTTGAGTCAAATTGTGACCATTTGACCTTTTTCAAGGGGAGGTGCATGAATTTTCAGGGGAAGTGCAAAACGATGTCAAAGAAGGTGTAAAACGATCTCAGCGGAAGTGCGCTCCTCCTCACACATCCCCTCAAAATCCGGCCGTGAACCATATATTGGACTGAATAGAACTGGGACGCTACCTCCAACCGGAAATTTGAAGCCAAACTTGAAGGCCAGTCCCAGTCTTTTCACGCATGCGAAGAGCTCTCAATAAGTCAATCATGATATAAACACGCGTGATCTTAATAATAATATAATAATAATAAAATGGTTTATTAACACATTATCGCACCAACATGATGAATTACAACGTGTGTCACTTACCTCCAGACATGTGTGTCTGGAGGTCAAATTTGGCTTCAAGAAAAAGATAGGCAGTTTATCTGAAGGTAGCGTTCCAGTTATATTCATTTCAATGCCATGAACTCCTTAATAATGTTGTCTCAATGTCTCTTACACACAAGCAATAACAGCCTCAACCTCGTTCCCAGGGTCTCTCCTTCTGTCAAAGAGATCCTGGGTACGAGGTTGTAACAGCCTTACAATGAAAAACAATTTTTTTGTTTTTATTAGGACGACGTTATTCAGGTTATCGAAAAGGCTCACAATGATGAGCTTGAACCAACTCCTGGTAATACTTTGAGACAGACGTTTGAAAACCAGGTAAGGAAACATAAACAGCGGGGAACATCGTTCGAGGTATTTAGTGCGTAATCAATTGTTTTATTTTATTAGGTTAATCGCATCCTAAATGACTGTCGTGACAAAACAGGTAGCAGCGCTCAAAAAAGTTTGTCAGAGTTCAATAATTTCAAAGCTATGGTGGTAGCTGGTTCTAAAGGATCAAAGATTAATATCTCACAGGTGAGAAGTATTTGGCGTATTGTGAGGGATTATCTAAACAACTAAACTCCTGGTCAGATTCCTTTTTCGTATTTGTTTTAACTGACAGTATATATTTTGTAAAGAATTGAGCAGAAAGGAAACATTCTTGGAACATCACAAATGTTCACGTTAACTAATATATGCTATATGCTATTTATTAATGTTCTTGATTTGTAAATCCTAGGTAATTGCTGTGGTAGGACAACAGAACGTTGAAGGAAAACGAATCCCATTTGGTTTTAATCATCGTACATTACCTCACTTTATCAAAGATGATTATGGTCCTGAGAGTAGAGGCTTTGTTGAGAATTCATATCTTGCTGGTTTAACGCCCACCGAGTTTTTCTTTCACGCTATGGGTGGTCGTGAAGGTCTTATTGATACCGCTGTGAAAACTAGTGAAACTGGTTAGTATGCCTCAATCAGTTACCGCAGTGTATATAATTTAAGGAGAAGCAACTTAAATTACGATGTCGAATTTATTGCCTTCTGTTTTCTTGCTCCTGTGCTTTATCATATTGAGGACAGTTGTTACTGCTGCGTCCTCAGATTCTTGAAGTGGAATCAAGGGAGATGTGGTTAGTTACAATAGGCAGCCCAGCATGCATAGCAGCATGGCTATTTGTAAGCATCCCGTGATACCTTGCGGCGCAACTCAGTTTACTCAACCACAAATCTAGACTGAAGAAGAGGTGTTTCAAACCGTATAAAAAGTTTCGTGAAGCATTTTATAATTTTTTTCGTTTTGTCTTACCAGGTTACATTCAACGTCGTTTGATCAAAGCTATGGAAAGTGTGATGGTAGCTTACGATGGAACGATACGTAATTCTGTCAATCAAGTTATTCAGTTAAGATATGGTGAAGATGGTATGGACGCAACACACATCGAGTTTCAAACTATGCCTTCGTTAAAACCAAATAGTGCAGCTTTTGAAAGAAAGTTTCATTTTGAATCCGGAATTGAGAGGTAACTAGAGGGCACATAAATTACAGTATATGCACTAATTACGCATTCAGTTTTTTTTCAGTCCGGGAAAGCAAGGCAAACGTTTAAATTTATCTTCTAGTTTTCATCCTCATTGAACCAAAATTTAATCGATTTGTCCTTGGTCTACGGCTACTAGCTCCACAAATTGTCTAATTAAACTGTTTGATAGTTGTTGAGTTATCCTGTTGACGCACACGGGAAATTATAAGCTTATGCCGGAGGTTAAAATGTACAACTTCTAAACCTCCTCATGGAGGTAAAGAAAAATAGGTTTAGTAACTTACTAATTATGAAATGTGGTGTGAGAGCTTTATGAGCCAATTTTTACTGCACTGTGCAACGTAATTTTGAACACACGTGCATGTTGTTTAAAAAGTACAGTATTCACGTAGAAATTGTGGGATATTAGAGAGTTTAAGCTTCGCGTTATACGGCAAACGGCAAACGCCAGGCAAAGAAATATTTTACGGTATCAGGCAATAAAGAGTAAATGAACTTGCTGTTTTAAAACTGCAATGCATGATTATTCTTTCGACACAAGAAAGAAAATATGAAACGAAATAACGGAAGTTTTGCGAAGAAAGTTCGAATCTGCCGTTCCCGGAAACGTGAAGCTTAAACTCCCTAATACATTTCGTTATTCAGATCCCAGAATGACGTTACGTTAAAACAACGTTTGTGTACGACGTTTTATAATGTTTTAATACAAGAGTAAGGATTATATCCATCAGAAATGACGTTGCTACTTGAATATAGATTTTTTATGCCAAACACAAGATATCAAAAATTCAAGCTGACAGTAAATTGCACAATCTGTTATGCGTCTTGTGTCAATTAAGCATGAGATTTATATACATATTGTGTAATTCGTAATTTATTTTCAGATAAGTTCATGCAGGAATTATTAATAAAGCAGTCTTATTAAACTATTTTTTGTTTTCTGGTGTAAAGGAGAATGAAGCGTTTTCTTCAAGATGAAATTGTTCGAGATATTGTGGGTAGTGCAGCGGCTCATCAAGAACTGGAAGCTGAATATTCTCAACTAGAGAAAGATCGAGATGTATTGAGGTCTATATTCCCTTCTGGTAACAGCAAGGTAATTTTTCAATCGATAGATATTAATGTACATTCCCCCATTTGCTTCGAAAATAGCGGCCTGCCAAAAGGCAGGCCATATTTCCGAAATGGCGGCAGGCGGGAAAAAGATTGACCTGCCAAGTCAAAAATAAAATGGCAGGAGAAATTCTACAAAACAAAATTGGCGTCCAATGGTTGAGGACATAATCGATTTGCAGTTTGCCATTTTCGGTTAGCTGTTTGCCGTAACGTTGGATAATCTCTTTTCGATATCTTTTGTTTTTGTAGGTCGCACTTCCTGTCAATCTAAGTCGTCTGATCTGGAACGCCCAGAAAACATTTCATATTAACAAGCGGATACCTAGTGATCTACACCCTGTCAAAATTGTTCAAGGTATGAAATAGTTTCTTTTTCTTCTTCTTTTTCTTAAACAGCCCTCTCCCAACAAAAAATAGGGTCGTATAATAGATAAGCAAACAACCCAACCAATTCCACAACCATAAAAGCATTAGGGTCCACAGAAGAAAGGAGGGCCGTTTTTTGTCAGAATTTTTTGTTCTGCCTATATAATAATACCTCCCCACAGTCGCTTACTTAAAAAATGATTCTGAAAGCCGTGTTTAGACGAGCAAATGCCTAGGCAAATAAACGAAACGCATTATTATGTTCAAGAAAAGCAAAATATAATCGCATACTACGTGTGACTTTGTTAGAACAGTGACGTTTGTAAACATTATTACTTCCAATATCATAAAAATTTCAACCCATCAAAAGATCTTTGAACAGAAGGGGACAACTTTTGTTAAATGTTATGGATATTCGAAAGATAATGTTTTAAATTTTTTATACTGTAGATGTTCGGAAACTAAGTGAAAGACTAGTGGTGGTTAAAGGCGATGATCCAATAAGTAAACAAGCTCAAACCAATGCAACGTTATTGTTCAACGTATTATTGAGATCAACATTATGCTCTAAGAGAGTATTGGAAGAATTTCATTTGTCTTCTGAGGCTTTTGATTGGATTGTCGGAGAGATTGAAACCAGGTTCAACTTGGCACAGGTGCGTATGAAAAGTAAGCATGAAAATTGTGAGGAAGCAGTTGGCTGTGCGTTTGGTAAATGGAAAGTGCATGTGTGCAAGTTTCTAATGCTCGTGTAGAAGTCACCCCATAATCTCAAAGTAACCAAGCATTTTGGACGAAACTTCTCTTGTTTAATTGCACTTTAATCTAAATCGTATGGATTTGTACCTAAAATCTTACAATATCTTCGTAACCGTTGCTTCCGCAAAAAAATTCGTGGAAGACTGGCTTTTTTGGTAGGATGACATAACCCGGAAAGCAAGAGAAAGTTTAACGCCTGTATTCTAAAAGCACACTCAAAGAGTGGAGGTTCAATCTGAGCTTCCCTTGAGTGTCAGTGCTGTTTTTGAATAGCTGGAGGGTTAGCAGAGGAGGGTTAGTCTCGTACCTCACTATGTGACTACTCTAGCTATTCCAAAACAGCATTGACACTCAAGGGAAGCTCAGATTGAACCTCCACTCTTTGCGTGTGAGTGTGCATGAGCGAGCTTTAGAATACAGGCGTAAGTCTCGTATCCAATGTAATGATACCAAATTCAACCGAAATTTTATCAATTTGTCCGCGCCCACAACCATAAGCTCCAGTGTTCATGTATACTTTCTTGACATTCTTAAATTATCATATTGGTTAACAAGCAGAGAGAAAACATAAGCTTCTGGCGGACTTAACAATCGCAATGAAATGACAAAGTAGTTGTTTTATCATTTAAGGTTCAACCAGGTGAGATGGTTGGTCCACTTGCCGCTCAGTCTCTTGGAGAACCTGCCACTCAGATGACGTTGAATACTTTCCATTATGCTGGTGTTTCTGCCAAGAATGTAACATTGGGTGTACCGAGGTTGAAGGAAATCATGAACGTATCAAAAAAACCAAAGACACCCTCACTGACTGTGTTTCTCGTCGGAAAACCTGCTAGAGATGCCGAAAAAGCAAAGGTAATGTGTATATGTGTTATCGATGCCGACGTTTGTGGTATCTGTCGAAGCTGAAACCTGAGGCGTATAACACGATTCATTAATTGTTTTATTATTTATTCAAAAGATTTAAAAGACATCCGCCCCTGTGAGTTCTCCTCTTCAAAATAGTGACGAGTTCTTTCGATTTGCAGGAAGTATTTAGAGCAGTTTCGGTTTTCATTTAGATCGTATTTCCGTCTTACATCAATAGCATTACGTCTTCGTGCGATAGTAATTTTTCATATCACAATCCATAATATCACGTCATTGACGTCAAACTCCATATCTGGTCAGCCATTGAGTTGATATGACGATTTTACCGTTGGCTGTTAGCCAATCAGAAATCATGAATTCTCTAAAATAAATAATAGTGTGTGCAATGGTATATTTTATTTTTACTTAAAGAGTTTCAACACAGGTACGAATGTGAAAAGTTTGAACTTGCATCGTTCAAATCATGTGTACCATTGATGTATTTTACAGGATGTGCTGTGTCGACTGGAGCATACAACATTGCGAAAGGTAACAGCCAACACAGCTATATATTACGATCCTGATCCTCAAAATACCGTAATAACTGAAGATCAAGACTTTGTCAATGTCTACTATGAAATGCCTGACTTTGACGTCACGCGAATATCGCCTTGGTTGTTGCGTATTGAACTTGACAGGAAACGAATGACAGACAAGAAGCTGACTATGGAACAAATATCTGAAAAGATTAACATGGCTTTTGGTGATGATCTGAATTGTATATTTAACGACGATAATGCAGAGAAATTAGTGCTTCGTATCAGGATCATGAATAATGATGACAATAAGTTTCAGGAGGTAAGTTATATTTCGATGTTCATGGAATTTAAAGAAATTTTGAATGTGTCCTGTACAACGGAAAGGACGAGATAAAAAAAAACGTAGGAAGGAATTTGTGTCCCGCGATGGGACCCGTGTTTCCTTTGTAGGAACTTTGATGCAACTATTTCGTCTGTTTGGTTAGTTTTATAACCACTTTCGGTTCGATTTCACACTTAACAATCACAAACTGTGATTGGGCCATTGCACGACCTCGAATTCCAAATGATTCTTTAATGTACATGAAGATATCTAATATTGGTTTTAGGAAGAAGAACAGTTGGATAAGATGGATGACGATGTTTTCTTACGTTGTATTGAGTCTAATATGTTGACAGATATGACACTCCAAGGAATTGAAGCAATCTCTAAAGTGTATATGCATTTGCCACAGCAAGATACTAAGAAGAGAATTGTAATTACTGAACAAGGAGACTTTAAAGCAATACCAGAGTGGCTGCTGGAAACGGATGGTGTTAGTTTAATGAGGGTAAGTATTTCATGACTGATTAAGAACATTGGAATTATACTTTCCCAAATTTGCCATGAGATACGGCATGCTAATTGTAGTGATGATTTCTTTTTCTTTTGCAGGTTTTAAGTGATCAAGATGTAGATCCAATCAGGACGACTTCAAATGATATCTGTGAAATATTTTCTGTAAGTATATTTTTAATTCACCAAATAACAAATAGAAGATTGATTTCAACCTCGATAGAACAGTTTCATATACGGTAACAAATTACAGGGGCTATTTATATGACGCCAGAACGGGAATGATTTTGATGTATTGAAAAAGTCACCACACACTTGGTTATACAAAAACGTTAACGATGTTTAAAGGGCCTGAAATTATGTGGATATGTAAACACTACTTCCCCTTTACAGTTATATTCTGTCATCTGAACTATACGACAAATTGAAAAAATAGAAGATGCGTAGCCAGGTTGAAACATTATTTATTGAGCGTTCTCTGACTTAATATTTATTTCTACGAGCTTTCGGCTATCAGTCTATAGCCTTCGACGGTGTTTTTTTTTGTATACACCCGTCGAAGGCTATAGACTGATAGCCGAAAGCTCGTAGAAATAAATATTAAGTCAGAGAACGCTCAATAAATAATATACGACAAATATTGAATTTTGAATGATTAATTAATTATATGTGAAATATTTCCGTACATCATCTAGCCTGCGTAGCAGCCGGTTACATCATCCCGCCATATCTCATCCCAACCATGTAAACGGGACCTATAACGGTTTAAGACTTTCTTCTATTCAACAAATAGTTTCCATGTAGAAATCATGTTTTAATCAATATCAAACATATCTTTGTTCTTCTAGGTACTTGGTATCGAAGCTGTACGTAAAGCAGTTGAACGTGAAATGAACCACGTCATCTCATTTGATGGCTCCTACGTGAACTACCGTCACTTAGCCTTGCTATGTGACGTCATGACTAGTAAAGGACATTTAATGGCCATCACTCGGCATGGAATAAACAGACAGGATTGTGGGGCCCTCATGAGATGTTCGTTTGAAGAAACTGTAAGTATTGTCTGTATTCAATTGAACCTTCCCCAAATGTTTGAGTGCCCATGAGAGAATGGAATTAGAGTGAGGTTTAAGCTGGCAATGAAAACGTTTCATTTTACTAAGATCTTAATGTCAGCCTCAACTTCATGCTTCAATATATTGTTTCACTCAAATACATTTGAGACGTCTATGTTGTGGATCTGATTGCTTCGCATGATGCAGTACGAGAGCATCTACAGTATCGCCAGGTATGAATGATCATTCCAACATGCAATCATATTTGCATAAAGAGATTCGAATAAAAATCGTAAATGAATTGGTTTTTACGTTGTAAGTTAAGGATGAAAATAATGTGCATGTAACCACACCTTTCATACTACATTTGAGTGGACTAGAAACATAGCTGTTTAATAGTGGAACTTTTTACGTACTAAAAATTTGACACTGATTCGGTTATCTCGAAGCCCCGCTATCTCCCAAGTTTTTGTTGTTTTCCTTGGCTGTTCTAGATAGCGGGATTCTGCTGTCATTTAATTAATATTAAAGGGGAAGTCAAGTCCGTTCTGCGCATCGGTTCTGCTCATAACAATGTGAGGACCTCTAATGTGAACATTGCCCAAATTTCGAATGTTTCGAATTTTTCTGAACATAAACTCTATTTCATATTCATTTAGAAGCATAGCGAACCAAAATGGTATCAGATATTCAGACAGTACATCATATTTTAAAAAATACAGCAGTTCAAAATGTAAACAAACCGTTTGTTTACATTACGGACTTGACTTCCCCTTTAATTAATATTAATTAATATTTATAATATAGCATTTGTAAATTCTGAACGCTGATTGGTTAAGAGCCGTGTTGATATAACTCAATGTCAACACGGAAATTCCCACTCGTGTTGATATAACTGTATATCAACACGGAAAATGTTTTATATTTGTTAAATGTCAACATACTAGGTCGACGTATTGATGGAAGCAGCTTCCCATGGCGAAGTTGATCATTTACTGGGAGTCAGTGAAAGTATCATTATGGGCCAACTTCCAAGGATTGGTACTGGATGTTTTGATCTTATGTTGGATGCTGAGAAATGTAAATATGGCATGGAAATACCAACTCACATGGTCGCCAGTGGCTTGTTTGGAAGTGGACCAATGGCTGGTAAGTTTGCGAGCACATAATTTCGTGTTTTGTATAAACCTTTTACGAACGTTTGACTACACCAAAAGTTGGACTAAATTATCGTTCGAAAGAGATCAACTGCATTCTTGAAAACTGCCACTTCATCACATTTCTGCAGCTTCTGCGCTTGCAAATTATTGAGGGTTTAAAATAAGTTACCGTTGGTACGTAACTTGTAACTACAATCGTTACATTTATTTATTTATTTATTTGTACGTATATTTCTCCCTTTGTTAGCATCTGGAATGTTCTTTGGCTCAGCAAGTTCTCCTACGTCTGCTATGTCACCTCAAATGACACCGTGGAACCAAGGAGCAACTCCAAGTTATCAAGATGCTTTTAGTCCAGGCATGGGTAGTGGTATGACTCCTGGAGCTGCTGGATTTTCGCCAGCAGGTTCAGATGCCAGTGGATTTAGTCCTGGTGGAGGGTTTAGTCCTGGTGGTTGGAGTCCAAATCCTGCCTCACCTGGTTCACCTATTGGAGCTGAGAGTCCATATATTCCCAGTCCAGCTCACGGTGCTGCAAGTCCAAGTTATTCACCAGCTAGTCCAGCATTCATGCCAAGTTCACCATCTATGTCACCTACCAGTCCATCTTACTCACCAACCTCACCTGGTTATTCCCCCACATCTCCTAATGCTGGAGGCTTCACCCCTGCAAGTCCTAGCTACTCTCCAACTTCACCGTCCTACTCTCCAACTTCACCCTCCTATTCACCTACTTCACCATCATATTCCCCCACGTCACCTTCATATTCTCCTACATCTCCATCATATAGCCCTACATCACCCTCCTATTCGCCCACCTCTCCATCATACTCTCCCACATCACCTTCATACTCGCCAACTTCACCCTCTTATTCTCCAACCTCCCCGTCCTACTCCCCTACATCTCCCTCGTACAGTCCTACATCTCCGTCGTATAGTCCCACATCACCATCTTACAGTCCAACCTCCCCCTCCTATTCACCCACCTCTCCATCGTATTCTCCCACCTCTCCCTCGTATTCTCCAACATCTCCGTCGTATAGTCCTACATCACCTTCCTACTCACCAACATCACCAAACTACAGTCCTTCATCTCCATCATATTCTCCATCTTCACCCTCCTATTCCCCCTCTTCCCCAAGTTACACCCCCGAGTCAAACAGGAACTATTCACCATCATCGCCATCATATTCACCAAGTTCTCCCAAATACTCGCCTTCCTCTCCCAGTTATTCTCCCACCTCGCCAAGTTACTCCCCAACTTCTCCAAAATACAGTCCGACGTCTCCAACATACTCGCCCACCTCCCCGTCGTATTCACCAACCTCTCCGAAGTATTCTCCAACTTCACCTACATATTCTCCAACATCTCCCACTTACTCGCCAACATCACCAAATTATTCTCCTTCACCACAATATTCCCCAGCATCACCTCAATATTCACCCACCTCGCCCCAATATTCCCCAACCTCCCCCCAGTACTCCCCATCTTCTCCTCAGTATTCACCAAGTTCTCCTCAATATTCCCCGAATTCTCCAACATCTCCCCATTACTCTCCAAGTTCACCTCAGTATTCCCCATCATCTCCAAATTATTCTCCCACCTCTCCACAATATTCTCCGGGCGATGACTATAGCCCAGTTGCACCCAGATATTCTCCTTCATCTCCAACATATAGTCCTTCAACACCAGGTGGTGCCTCAAACGTCTCCCCACAGTACTCCCCCTCGTCACCACAGTATTCTCCATCATCTCCAAGCTACACACCTGCTACACCAGGGTACTCCCCAGCGTCCGCTTATTCTCCGTCTAGTCCTGTGTATTCACCTGATGCCGGTGAAGATCAGAAGAAGAAAAAGAAGTGATGTCTTGTCAAGTTACGAGCATACTTTGTGATATAAGAGTACAACCACTATACATAGTATTGCATGTTTAGTATAATCGATATATATTGTTTAGTGTAGATGTCCTTGGTCAAGGACGTTGGTAAATCACCTTCCACAGCTTTATGAACGTTGTCACCTAATTCATTTACAGAATATATATATATATATAATATATATATATATATATATATATATATATATATATATATATATATATATATATATATATATATAATATAATATATATATATATAATATAATATATATATATATAATATAATATATATATATATAATATATAATATATATATATAATATATATATATAATATATATATAATATATATATATATACCGATGCAGTCGTTATTTTAGTTCGTTTAAATCGCACAAGGGTCGTTCCTATGCCAAATAACGACTGCGAAAGAGTGTGGATAACGAACATACTTACCACTACCCTGATTTTTTAAACATCAAAAATTTTATATTGAAAAAAGTTAGATGTAATTTCTGTCAGAAATAAATTGTCGGGTCCTTAGTTGAAAACATGATAAATAGAGGTAAATGTCATTTTGTTCGTACATATATTGTATTGTATAATTTTGTTAGTTTCACAATTTATATGCATATCATACCAACGGTTACTTATGAACAAAATGAACACAACATTCCTTCTATATTCCAAAGTCAAAATGGGTTTATTTTATTGCGTAATTACTAGTTGAGACGGTTTTCTTTGATGTACTTCAGGATGTATACAGTAATAGCCCGTGAATAAATAAATAAATAAGATTAAACTTCGAAATTGATGAAACTTGTTCCAAAAGGCAAAACCTCCTCAACTAGTTAATACGTCGTTTATAAACTTCGAAGTTGGGATATAAGTAGTATATGATATAATATATGAATGACTTGGAGACTGATGGAACTCATTATTTCTCGGTTTATAACCTATATGGCTATACAAGTATATATGGGCTTGTATGTATAACCTACGATTCCATCCTGTCTTAGCGAAATCTCAAAAAATACATGATTCAAATGTATTTGCCAATTTGGATGAGTTTTAAAGCTCGAATAAATTGCAATTATACATCACTTAGGTTACGTTACAATGAGGAATTGTGTTCCTTTTGTTAAAAAAATGATGTAAAAATACCAGTTAGTTGTAGAGATACGAAGAGCGAGATTCCAGTTATGAAGGCAAAGTTTCATTCGTTTAATATATTTCACAAATCCGACTAATATTATTTAATAAATTAATGGGTGATTCCGGCTATGGACGAAATTTTGATCTAGACAAGAAGAACGAAACCAACACTACACCTAGAAAGAGCATCTTAAAATGAGTAAAATTGCAAAGTTTGGTTGCAAAATGTTGTAAAACGAAGAAAATTTAGCCCTGTGAGGTTCGCAAATTTTGTATATATTTGTATTAAGCGCGGTAAAAATAACCACTTTCCGCTCAAAAATGGTTATTTTTCCCGCGCGTAATGTGTTGGATTTCATTCTTCTTGTCTAGATCAAAACTTCGTCCATAGGTATAGACTGCGAGCAATACCTCTATTTTCCTTCGTTTTATTGTTTCCCGGACTAAGATTGAACGCGCGGGAAAATGGCAAAAAGGGTCGCAGTCTACCATAGGTATAGCTGGAATCACTCATTAAATTACTGTTCTTCGTAATTTGGAATCTTCAACTTTCTAATGTATTCGTAGGAGCTTTAAATTTTGTACAATGTGTTAAAAAATAAAATACTCAAAAAAACGCACGTCGTGCAGTTCAATATGTGTCTTTGGTACAGTATACACATGTTAGTCTTCCTTGAATGTTTGTCACGCACATATTGTTGCCAAATCATTTAACCCAACTGCATGCAATTTCCAAACTGACCAATTCTTCAAGTGACGGGTGGATAACTAAGCCAAAACATTTCTATTGGTTAGTTGAGTGAAAGTGGTACACACCAGACAATGTTCATTGATAAAATCACAAAATAGACATGTCATGGTATATCTATTCTGTGATAAAATATTCTTTTGTGTCATGCCACCTGACATGGCTGCTGACGTGCAAGTCAAGAATAGAGAAAATGTAAAAATCAGTCCAGTCCAACTGTCCAGTCCATGTTTTGTACTATGCCTACTTTTATATGGTTAATCCCTGTTGTGACTTCACCAAAACTACCGTTAATGAGATCTCGAATGAGATAAAAAAAATTATCCAAGATGGCTGACATCTCATTACTTCAAGTGAAAATATTTCAAGAACTAAGCAAGATATGAAGAATCGGTAAAAGAAGTTATTAAATACTTTCAAAAGTTCTTTCAAATGAGAAAATAAAAAAATATATTGCCTTTATATACCCGAACTTGTCGCTAGCTCTCAACAATAAGACTGTAGCTCAATGGTCAGAGCATTGCATCAAAATCGTAGGGCTGCATGTTCTGTCGGAGGGCTCATTCGAAACTGCTCCTGGTTGGGACGTCTGGTACATGACACATGTATACAGTTTTCGCTATACATGTGCAATATACAAAAAATTAAAACTATTAAGTAATATATTAAATTACATCTTTAAAGTTACAAGTCTACATTTATACGACTGATATATTAATTATATTATACGCTGTAGGAAAGACTCCCTATTAGGGACTGTTCATTATTTAAGAGATGAGGGTGGGGGTGGGTGGGTGAGAAACTGGGGGGACCTGAGATTTTTCCAGATGAAAAAGGGGAGGAGGGAATTCTGGTAAACCAAATCCTGGGGAGACCTGAAATTGAAGGAAGACACATTTATAAATTTCAAAACTCAACTCAATAATTGATGAGGGAAAAAACAAAAAGTCAGAATTCTTCAAACTTCATCTTTGAATTTCTCCTGTTAGACAATGTTGATTTTCAAAATTACTAGGTCAAATAGATCGTTTTTCCACTCACACAGTACATGTTTCATCAGAACTATTAAACACTTGGGTATCGCCTCGTGTTATATATATCTGATAAAAGATTGCTGTTGGTGCTTTGAATGTTAATATATCATAACTAACTTTCTTTTCTGATCTTTGTCGATCCCTGCTGTACAAAGTTTATAGTTGCACACAAAAGGAATAAAAAACAAAGATGTACATTTAATATAGTGTGAATTGTACATTGTAGCACTGTATATACAAATATATGCATTTATAATATAGCGTTTGTAAATTCTGAACGCTGATTGGCTAAGAGCCGTGTTGATATAACTCGGAAAATTTCTTTCTTTATGTTTCTTTGTGCTATATTATAAAACAAATATAAAACATTTTTCCGTATTGATATATAAATCGTGTGAAATTGTGTGAAAACTCTCCGCCCATCGGGCGTCGTGTTTCCACACAATTTCTCGTTTTCCCAATTTCCACTCGTGTTGATATAACTGTATATCAACACGGAAAATGGTTTATATTTGTTAATTATAAATAATTGCAATAGCTGCAGAAGTACATGTGTTACGCTCATTCACTGTGAACAACATGGCACATGCATTTTGTAAAGTGCATGCTATATATGTGGTAGTTATAGGGGGATCTTAAAATTTATTGTTAACTGTTAAGGTAAGGGGGGAACCGAAAATCTAAGTTTGACTAAGGGTGGGGTCCGGGAAAAAATAAGAAAATTTGCAAAAATCACCCATAAATAATGAACGGTCCCTTATATGAGTATTATAGAGCTACGAGTATTTTATCGATATATGGTTAAATGCCAATACGGTGGACGCACTGAGCAGCAAAATTTCTATATACAACGAGCCGCACTATACAGTCATTTTTCGGCAGATCAGTGGCCAGCGGCATAAATTTTCTCCTGTGCTATACTGTATATGTACTATATAAGTTAATATATTTAATTTACTTATAGATAATTTGTTGTATTCTTCGAATCTTTGTACAGTAAATAAAGATATACTAGGCATGTATAACCAGCACGTACAGCTCCCCATCGATATCTTGTGATTGCTGTTTGAGATTAGGAGCAGGGAGGATCTCTATTTACTTTGTGTTGGTAGGCAAGAAGATTCTTCGCAATTTTCGAGTCCCAGTTTAAACTTTTACTTCTTGTATCAATGGCGAATTTAGTTCCAGAACGGAAACCCATGACGAGGATCTCGCTTCCAATCTTTAATCGTGGGCATGTGCAGTTTTGAGAACTTGGCATCCATAAGAAAGATAATTTGTAGGTTGCAATCGTTGGACAGTTACTTTGACAAACAGGTTTAAGATAGTCATGTTTTACAGACAGTTCAACATTATCTTTGCTGCTTATTTTTAATTGTTGTGTGTAGTATCTGTTCACTACACCACGAACAACTAGAGAAAGAAATGAAAATTTAGTAATTCATTGGTGATAATAAACATGGTTCTAAGAAAAATGAATGTTTCAAATCATTTTTGCATATTGCTAAAGTTTTAAATATTGCTATAGCCTATACTGCTATAGCCGCGACATACGGTCGCGGGACATACAGTCGCGGTTTTCACGATCACATCTTGGTCGCCGATACAAAATGTTTGTAGATACAACCTGAAAAATACAAAAAGAACTTGGACATTGAGGCAAAGTTCTTTTTGTATTTTTGATGTAGTTGTATTTCCTACAAAACTCTGCAGTTTGTAATCGACATCGTTACCTGCACTGGCACCGACCAGAGTCGCCAGTGAGCCAGTCGCTTATCCAGCGTGGAATGATGGGATTTTCCATGGGCCTTTGCTTTTGCGTCGTATAGACCCATTGCACATGACGTCACAGCGCCGGTGATTTTGCATCTGGAGGACACTCTAAGGATTTGTGACGTCAGTGCAAAGGGTCTATTGTTCCAACCCGCAAGCCCGCCTTCAAATTTGGGCCTGCATGATCTTAATGTTTTCGAAGCAAATTTGAGGAACTGTGGAAAAGTCAAGGCGCCGACTGTCCGAATCAATGACTGGCCAATGCAGCACAAGGTCCTCTGGTAGGAATTGAACCTACGGCCCTGCGATTCCGGTGCAGCGCTCTAACCAACTTAGCTACAGAGGCCAGCTGTTGAGCTGTAACCGTAAGTTCATGTATATATAGGAAATCGGGTGTGCGGGTTGTGATAAGGTGGACTTCAATGATTTGGATTCTTGCACTTCACTTGGTGGAATTAATATTAGAATGTTAGGGTTTGTAATCCAAGTGAGAATATATACATTTTAAGACCTAACCAGGAACGACTGCGAAAAATGCAGCACAAGGTCTTCTGGTAGGAATTGAACCTACGGCCCTGCGATTCCGGTGCAGCGCTCTAACCAACTGAGCTACAGAGGCCAGCTGTTGAGCTGTAACCGTAAGTTCATGTATATATAGGACGATTACCTATATATACATGAACTTACGGTTACAGCTCAACAGCTGGCCTCTGTAACTCAGCTGGTTAGAGCGCTGCACCGGAATCGCAGGGCCGTAGGTTCAATTCCTACCAGAGGACCTTGTGCTGCATTTTTCGCAGTCGTTCCTGGTTAGGTCTTAAAATGTATATATTCTCACTTGGATTACAAACCCTAACATTCTAATATTAATTCCACCAAGTGAAGTGCAAGAATCCAAATCATTGAAGTCCACCTTATCACAACCCGCACACCCGATTTCCTATATATACATGAACTGACGGTTACAGCTCAACAGCTGGCCTCTGTAGCTCAGTTGGTTAGAGGGCTGCACCAGAATCGCAGGGCCGTAAGTTCAATTCCTACCAGAGGACCTTATGCTGCATTTTTCGCAGTCGTTCTTGGTTAGGTCTTAAAATGTATATATTCTCACTTGGATTACAAACCCTAACATTCTAATATTAATTCCACCAAGTGAAGTGCAAGAATCCAAACTTTAAATCAAACATGTTTTACGCCAATATTAGGGTGATGTTATACACCAAACGATTTTCAACGACGATTTCTATAATTCTATTGCACTGAAATGTTGAAATTTGGTCTATTCGGCGACACGTTGCCGAAACGAACTATTTTATGCCATATAATTATCAAGTATTTCACCTTACCATAATCATATTGATACTGGCAGAGACTGGAACTAGTGACATCTGCAGGTTTAATTTGTGTTCCCTTACAAAAAGCCGTGCATGCTTTATCTAAGAAAATTGAAAAAAATACATTATAAAACGACGACACATCCAAGCTTTTTCAAGCATGCATGTCACCTGTTCAAACAAGTCCAACCTACATGTTGGTCCAACATTTAGTAAACATTATACATGCAGTTGGTATTATATAACACCTCTTTAAATTCTGGTCATTTAATTGGCTGATTATGATCACGTTGTATGGAATGATGTGGTCGAATTTTACATTAAATTAAACTTTATATTACGCATAATAACATATCTAACATATAATTTGGGAATTGATAATTTTGTAATTTTTGTTTTCAATTTTAAAGATATAAGGAATAAAATGATCGTGTAACCATGACAACTATTTCAAATGTTCGGAAAATACAGTTGTTTTTTAGCAAGGCATGCATGTATTTCAACTCAGGTATATGTATTGGCTTCATGTTTAATTCCGGCAATGAAACATTCCAAATCATGTTGATCCATCTTGGGATGGTTTGAACAAGTCTTTACAAAACGTCATATTTACTGTTACAATTAAGACACGTAGGCCTACGTTGCAACATTCTTTAATTTTCGTCCTCTTAAAAATAGTAAAACATAGAATTAACTTGACATGATTAACTGACCTTTGCAGCCCGCACTGGGGGGAATGCTCACTATGCTCCGTCGTTCAATTCGACCTTAAAAAGTAAAATCAATATTAACATGCATTCTCATGAGAATTGACGTATATAACGGATACCTAGAGATCGAAGCATGCTGTTACAGCAGTTGTGCGTTGTTTATAGAGGTGTATATATTTGTAAAGAGGTTTTCTATCAATACAAAGCAAATCTTGGAATAGAGATTGAAACACGCGAAGAGCTAGAAACACAAATATCTTTAATAATATATCTTTATCATCACTAGTTTGTATTCAGTCAAACAATTACTTTATAATAGCGATTAGTGGCGTTCTTATATCAGTGGCGGCTGAACGGGTTTTATTTGTAAAATTTTGTATCCTTGACTTGCACTGATGTGGGCGGCGGCCATGTTGGCCCCCTCTCAACAAAAGAATCTCATTAGCTTCTTTTGAATTTGGTATACAAACACTGCAGCCGTGCTATTGTCTTCTAATTCTCAAGGGATTGATTGCAAGTCAAGAATTGAGATGTACGCTTTACGGCAGGGCCTCTTTTAAGGATGTGTAACTGGGGGGACATATATTTCGCGGGGGACCTGGAGAAGTTTCACTCGGCAAGTCTGTATCACTGCAGCTACCAACATATATATGCATGATTTAACTAATAAGTATAGGGCAGCAGATCAGGTCCGTAACTAGGATTCTGATTTCTGAGAAAATTTTGGATTCCCTGAAGCTCAGATAAATTCCTAGCATTTTGAGGAGTGTTCCAGCAAGAAATTAACCTTATAAACAGTGACACAATTGGCTGCAATTTTACAGTCTCCCAAATGTAATCTAGTCCCAATAAGGCAACATGATGTGATGATGCGGTAATGAAAATGTGCGTGGTATAGTATTATCATTCATCACACTTCAAATTCTACAGTACTGTATTACATGTGTTGGGGTACTTGACATCGACGCATTCGTCTTCTCAGTGTCACTGAAGAGCAAGATAGGTTGGTCTCTTTGGAGTATCTTTGCTTGGAGAAACTAACGAGCAAATTATTTCAGCCATGGTTTAGGTTTGGCGATGTTTAAATTTCAGTCCCCAAATAGACTTTATGCATAATGACGTCACAAGGTTTGATGCCTGCGAGGAATGCTGGTCTTAGTAGTCATTGCCCGGGGAAATTAAACAATTCAAAATGGCCACTATCGAAATTTTCCCGAGCGATGACTATTAAGATCAGCATTCCTCGCGGGCATCAAGCCCTGTGACGTCATTATGCATAAGGTCTATTCCTACCGAGTCAACTGACTCGGTTGACTCATAGCTAGTTACGGGCCTGCAGATGATGGTCAAATTCAGAAATATTAACAACCTAACATCATTTTTGACTCATGGATGTTGCGAAGCAACATCTGTGGTTACTTGAATGTGGGGTGAGTGTGGGGCAGTTAAACAATGGGAAATGATCAGCCTGCTTTGCGCGCACTGTTTGCCTGAGAATCGGGCCTTTCAGAACCGGAAATCGGGCTGGACCACGCGTTCAATTCGTTCTTTTGATTTATCAAATGAAGCATGACAAATGGGTGAAATGACAAAATTCGCACGGTTCCCGGTTTGCAAAAACAACTGTAAACTGCTCTAATCTTTCTGTCATGCACTTTCATTTGATCTTATCCGTGACTCGGCCTCAACGGCCTTTGATCTCACTCTGATATATAATTGCTGGTTGACCACCTACTGTAGGTAGTTCTTAGGGACCTTGCACTGGGGGAGGGGGAGGGGAGACACAATTGCAGAGACTGCATGAATTAAGGCGTATGTGTCGAAGTATATAGACTAGGCATACAGTGGCTATACTTGTTAAATTACCTTTTACATTTAAGATTCCAACCTCTGTTGGACAAGCACTAGAACGATATTGGCAGATACCACGAATTTGAAAGACGTACGTTGCAGTCTCTAGAAGAAAAATTGACATTGGATATTAAAACCCGTGGATATTAAAAGTTTCCGCAACAGTTTTTTAGCGCACCGTCAATGAAAAGTATGCAACTCTAAGTTCATACCAATGGCAATGGTTCACACATCTTGAACTGAAAATTTCCACAATAACTGAACTTAACCATCCAAAAAGAAATTAAACTTTCATGTCAAATAGTAAATATGTTATCATGAGGATAATCTCAAATAGAGAGATCATAATTTACTTGAAATGAAAACTTTGACCTTTTTATGACGGCCGATTTTATTTACATATCAAACAGATAACCATATTGCAGGTTCTCACGAAATCAGTCAGATAATGAAAAAGTGTAAAATGTCTTGCATTACAGTTCTTTCTATCCACATGAATTTAAATTCTATTGTGAATATATTTTAACAAATTTCTTATAAGGGCTGTCTGTGTTTTTCAGTTCTGCGTTCCTTACGTGCACGTACCTCCGCCCGAGCTTGGGAACGAGGATGGTGCCATCAGTGGATGGTGCACGTAAGGAACAGTCTCGTACCCAGGGCCCGCGGTTGCAAAAAAACTGCGCACGTATGGTTGCATAATGCATAGCTACTTATCGCTCTCGTATTAAAAGTATACGCGTTCAGACATTCCAACTATTGGAGGTAAAATTTAGGGAGACTGTTCAGTGAAATGAAATCTAGTTCTTCTGGGGAAAAATAATAAAAATTAAGTCTCCTGAAATGGCGTTTCCTGCATTTGGGGAATATGTTGTTATAAGTGACCCTATAAATTGCCATAAAGTAATTTCAAAAAAGGTCAAGACAGACTATTATGTTGCTAAAAACAGTATATTTATAATTTTTTTTATGATATTTACTGAATATTCTGAAAAATCGGGAGAATTTGATAAAAATCGGAAGACAGGGAGATTGCATGAATTTTCGGGAGACTCCCGGAAAAATCGGGAGAGTTGGAATAGCCGCGCGTTACAGGTTCTTTTAATCGAGAATACGCAGGTGAACACGTATGGTTTTTTAACTGCTAACATTACGTGCGAAGATGGAAGTTTAATATAAGCATAAACAAAGTTTATTAAAATACTTCTGATTGTTGGTAAAGCATATAGCATATGTTTGACAACAGTTATTCTTGAAATATTCTATATTTTTATTACCACACAATAGCAAACAATAGCAAACAAAACGAGGAAGTAACTGTACGTTTATGCATTTTACATATTAAATTTCTTCTCTCATGCATGCAATCTTCTGTCGACAATATTGTAACTTAAGGTCGGTGAGTTCTTCCTTTTTTTTGCCAAAGGAACTTGCTGGTTTGGACATGGCTGATTCGTGTGTTGTGATGTTTACACTATCATCGACCTCGTTTGAATCGCTCTGCTCAGTAAATGGATCTGGTTCGTTACAACCATCAGTCCGCATGACGAAGTTGACTGTCTTTCACAATCAGTCCCTAGTAGTTGTCCTCAGAATCTATTCCGCCTGGAATGGAGGTGAGCAATTTAAAGGATTGTCCTTGCCTAAAATGTCCATAACCAGCTCGTCTATCGTGATCCATTCTATTCCACCACCACCTGTTTTTCTCTTTCTGCATGGCATACTTTGCTTTAGTTGAAGTGGTTCAATCTTCTGTGAATGCCATTCAAATTTAAATAATTCCACACCATTGTAAAGACAATGATGTTTATGTCCATACGTTTCACGGGTTATATAAACAAAATAAGTTCTTTAAACTACTGTACAGTATCAGTAAAAATTAAATGCATAATAACATTGGCCCACATGCTACAACTAATTAACGCTTTATTTACGTTTTGTCATTACGCATATTTTTGACTTGCAATCAATCCCTTGAGAATTAGAAGACAATGGCATGGCGGCCATGTTGGTGCCAAATTCAAAAGAAGTTAATGAAATTCCTTTGTTGAAAGAGGACCAACATGGCCGTCGACCACATCATTGCAAATCAAACATATTCGACAATTGGCAGAACATCGGGAAAGGTTTCGCCATCATAATCAAAACGTGAAAACGGCCAAGAATCTTTCGAGACAGAGAGGAAATGCTAGACACATTAAATGATGACGAATTCTTCCAACCGCGATATAGATGAGGCAAATGTTTTATGTGCTTCTTGAGCAAACATGTGATGTAATACAGCATAACACAAAACGAAATCACGCCTTTACAGCAGCGCAGCAGTTACTCATAGAGTTAAGGTTTTTAGCAAGCGGTTCATTCTAAGTTCTAACCGCAGGTGATTGCAGACACGATAAAGGTGAAAAAGAGTATAATATCTAGAACAATTTCAAGAGTGACAAAGGCCTTACAAAAGTCATTTATACCAATCAGCCAATTTTCCCTGTGCAGAAGGATTTGTAGATGGTTCTCATATGCGAATATTAAAATCCATGAACAGGTGTAGTATGTAAACAGAAAAGACTACCATTCTTTCAATGTGCAGATATGCAGAAACGGCGACCTGATGATCTGGTGGACGTTGTTGCAAAGTGGCCGAGATCAGTTAATGATGCTAGAATTTTCAAGAACTCGACGCTTTATGACAAATTCTCAGAAAGAATTTTATCACATTTGCCGAATGGAATAATTCTTGGCGACGCTGGGTATCCTTTACTTGAATGGCTGCTCATTCGTTAGGCCAATGAAAATTGATATCATGTTTCTCGTCCCCGCCCGCATGGGATTTATCTGCCGCACGAAAATTTTTCATTGTTCATTATTTTTGAAAAATAGGCTTAATTAATAAAACACCAAATTGATCTCCAGATCAAAGACTTATTGCTGCATTCCGCAAGCGCAACTCAAATTGCACTGATCTTTCTAAAGATATTACTCGCCAGAATGCCTCTATTTTTCATGTCAGCCCTGGTACTGGTATAGAAATACACTGTAGTGTAGGACGTATTAAATTAAAATGAATGATACACCGATTTACTTCAGATTTTTATGAGGTTTTTTACTGGTTCAAGGAAATTATTGACAAGCAATTCCAATACAAAAAATAATGAAAAATGAAAAAATCCCGCTCCAAATTTTTGAAAATTGTGGACGAGAAACATGAAATCAATTTTCATTGGCCTTATGTAGAAAATCCAGGTATGACGGCTGTACATGCAACATCATTATAACAAGGTCCAGAGATCGGCTCGATCCGTTATTGGAGGAATAATCGGCATGCTAAAGGCTAATTTCCACTCCGGAAAATAAGCAGTGGATCAGGCCGGATCGAAGGTTTTTCCGATCCGGTCCGATCCAACAAGCGATTTCCAATAAAAAGACAAGTGGGATGATCGGATCGGAAAAGCGAAAAAATGGAGCTCGTTCCATGCAGTCTCACATTCTCCATTTTGTAAATTTTATACAGGTATTTAATTATTTTAATTTATGTGAAATAATACGGCATCAGTTTTGATTGATCGCCAGGTTAAGTTGAAAATATTTCAACTTTTTATTATCCGGCCAGCAACGTCGCCGGATCAATTGGAACCAAAAATTTCTACTGATGGAGCATCCGCGGATTTTGTTTTGTTCTTATCCGGTCTGATCCGCTGCTTATTTTCCGGAGTGGAAATTAGCCTGAAGAGACGGTGGGCGCGCTTGAAGGAACTCCGTTTCAGTCCCGAAAAATGCCGCCAAGTTGTTGTCGGTTGTATGTTGTACAATTTTGGCGACATATTCCAATGAACGAAGACGAACTAAGCGTACAGTTTGTCGACGAACATTATGAAGACGACCGTATATAAATGAAACAGAAGAGGGTCGCGAAAAACGCAATGAGTTTGTGCGACGGATCTTTCTTTCACTAAATTACCTATATTTGTAAATAGCTGTTCAAAACGTAATAATTTATAATTGAACATTTGTCCCAAGATGTTTTTAACTATAATTGTTTCGGACATGTTCATCTTGCTTCACTACGAACTTAACCTTTCATTTCATCCTCAAGTTGCATGTAACAGTATCAGTGCTGTATTAGAGGTCCCGTGATTTTTCGTGCAATTTTTCACTTATATGTCCCCATTAAAAGTTTTATGCAACGTACACCCGTAGATTCTGTTGCACACCGGCTTAATACGCACGTAAGTCACGGCACTTATGTGTACATCGTAAGTCTGCGCCTTACGTGATGTTATGCCGCAACACATGTGTCATGTATGTTTAGTGAGCACGTAAGTCTACTCAACAAATACATATTAAATCATACACTAAACGCTGTCTTTTTATAGTTAGTTCATAAATAACAGTTAATTAAATGGATTTAAACATTTTCGTGCGTACACGCAGCCTGCTGTACTGCACGACGTGTTACGAAAATACAATTTTCTACATTTTTACGACTGCTCAAAACCTGAGAAAAAACTGCAACGAATATAAACAGATTGCCCATATTTTACTGCTTTACTCCGTCAACATTTTTCTTACTTGTCAGATCTGAACGATGAATGAGATTAATGAAGCGCATGGGAAAAAATATCGGCAACGCGGCAAAAGAGAGCGCAGGATGTCGGTGCATGTTTACTGCTTTTTCTGCGCATCACAAATTTCCGCTCAACATAGCAATACTGAGAAATAAACAAAAATTGATCATACCGCAAATGCGCAATGGCATTTTGCATATACTATTGACTCGTGATTGGGTAGCGCTAGTTCAGTCTATGATCGCAATGCCCCATTGGCATGCAATACATGGTTATCTGAATGTTAACGTCATTGCCAAAACTTTCCAAATATCAATTATTTAATCTAGATTAAAGGTTATAAGGTCAGGCTGCATCATTAGTGCTTGTCAAAATGATTTGTTACTATATTAGCAATCTGTTACAAGTTTAGTAGCATGTAACCATATCATAAACAAGCCTAGCTATTAAACTACTCAGGAGTGTGTTTGAATGGTTGGAATTTAAGTCCGATAAAAAGATAGTACTCCGGCCGAGTTTGTTGAACGACTTAAAACCAATTCGATATTAAGTGATATCTTTACAATGATGATGAATAGAGAATAGCAATGAAAACAGCCACTGCAAGGTTAAATGCTCATAAACTATCATTGTTTTTTAAAAGGATTAGTACATCATGCACTTCTTTACTGCAGTATATAGTTTATACAAGCCAGGGGCAAACTATAAAGACGATATCAAGTTTACAGCATTAACCCCGGCCCATGCAGGTGAAGTTGCAAAACGTTTTTCTGCATCCTAATTGCTGCGTTATCTACATGAATGTTCTTAATCTTTCTGTATCGTTCTCGTGTTTGTCATCATTTTGTATTATTTTAATAACAAGTGTAACAGAAAAATCATGTAATTACACAGATTGCATGCATGATGCCACGGCCCTTGTTGTTGACAGAAATGGTATAAAAGTTAATTGTAGAAGGCTGTCGCGGTGCGAAATCATAAACCGTCGGTTCTGCGCATGATCATTCCGATTAAATTTGTCATTTGTTATTTACCTGAGATTTTTCCAGAATCCACACAATATACGTATGGTTCAAATCTTCTTGTTGTCAATCAAATCTTGAGCACACAAGATGTTTTTATATACGTTGAGCTTATATATATGCACGCCTATATATTGATACATTGTACAGGGACAATCAAGGAAATCCAACTTTAGCGTTCAATATCGAAAGTGTGGATTTAATTTTTTCATATTAATAAAGATTATAGCTGTTGAATGATACCTTTTTTGTATCATTCCAAGAAAAATTACGAAATAGGAGCCGATGAAAAATTGCCGATCAAAATCATTTTTCCACCTCAAAACAAAAGAAAAAGTAATTAATCACCAATGTGTTTTGGCACGCAATAACCTTAAAACAGTGGCAACATTTATCAATTGCAAGCAATTATTTAATTTACCATATGTTATTCAATAGATTATTAAAAATTCACACATTTTAAGTCCAAATGCATGGCATTTAATTTCAATAATTTGCACCCAATTCTCAACGGTGGAAAATGCGTCAGTTTATAATATCTATAATGATATGTTATATAAGAACTTTTTTGATTGGCTGAAATGCGTACGTGTACAGCGCGGTAAATGTTTTGGGAAACATTTCCTCGAATCAGGAAATGAACTGGTTGAATAAAAAAAAACACTCAGACATTTACTTTTGACAAAGCTTACTCATGAATCAACTGCTCTCTCCTCCGCAGAGGCTTTAAGCTCCTTCGCCCAGCGGCTACGCTCGTGTTCTAAGATCCGCCATGTAAAGTGTAGTGAAATGTATCTCATCATAATATTAAATCCTAAAAAAACTAAAGCCTCTGCGGAGGAGAGAGAATCAACTGTATTATTGGCATTTTTCATATTATATGCATATCTTTGACGTATTCGATCAGCCGATTGCCTGGCGACCAATCAAAAACGTTTTAGTATACTTTGTTTGCGTTAGGAGAAACTGAAATTTCATCAGGAAGAAAAAACTTGTATTTTGATAAATATTATATTCTAAAAGAATGTTTTATTATTTGGCGTGCTCAATCGAGTAATTAAGCACTTGCATGGAGAGCACTCAAGCGCTAGCTAGAGTCTCGGCAGACTCGGCTAGCTAGACCAACTCATACGCTTTTTCGGGCTCTCCAAATTTCCCGCGTGCTCAAAAATTCGATTGAGCACACGCCAAATCATGAACAAATTCTTAACTTGACAGCCAACTTTCTGTTGATTCGTATTTACTAAAATAGTCATTCTTCTTTACAATGACAAAAATGTATCATCCGACATGCAGCTAAACGCCCAATTTTTGTTGCTCTCAGCAGAGTAGTTTGGGGGGGGGGGGGTCCGTATTGGTATATTCGTGTTCTGCATTATTAATTTATTTTGAAATCCGTGTTTTTAAGGTCTGTGAACACGAATATATGAATATGGACCCCCCACCCAATTATCGAGCTGGCTACACAGCAACTTTGTTGTGTAAAAATGTTATCGATAAACTCATTTTCTAGCATGCAAACATGCTAAAGAGCAAAGTTGGAATAACTTGTTTTGATACACCCTCTGTGATATTTCCAACGACGTGTAATCGCGTAGTAATACTGTAATAGAGTCTTGATATGTTTCAGTGATACTGTTACACATGAAGCAATTTAATTCATTCTTGGTTTCATCACTCTAATGACGCAGCCCTTCATATGGTTACAAAAATGTTTGTTTAAAGTGTCATATATTTCTTTTGTATCTAACCGAGACTCACCCCTGTAAACTAGCTCAAATAGGACTGTATTGCAACACTGCATTGTCATTGTATATCAGCTGTATCATCGCTGTATATTTTAACGTAACGTTCACCTTTATATCTGTGAATCAACGCACAACATTTCAGTTTACGTTGAGTGATAATAAACTGCTTCTATTTAAAAAAAACTATTAAAGAAGATTAATACCGATTTGCTCGGTTAGGCGGGACGTATAGTGCTTGCATTATGAAGTAAAAGGTGTTAAAAATCAAGTACGTAGCTTTGTTAGAACAACTTCCTTTGACACATAGGCGTGAGACTAATTACTCAATGTTTGTTTCCTGGCCTTAAGAGTTCTCAACTAATAAGGAAAATCCTTTACCGTGATATTATATATTGCTATGTTATTTACTAGAATGGTCGAATGTAAAAACGCAAAATTGACACTTGATTTAACAGAGCCAACTACAATTAGAAATTTGAAAACCCGTTGTACATTTAATGAGTTAGGATAGATCAGTTTTGAAGTACTTTTGGATTCTACAAGCAGTCAAGATGAAGCTTCAACTGCATCGTAGCTCGCACATGATTCGTATGTGATTCGATCAACAAATGAAACAAAGAGCGACAAGCTTAAGTTCACAAGTATGTAACGACTGTTAGCGATCCTGCAATTTGTACAGCAATTTACATTTGTGATTTGTAACGATAACTGATATATCTGTACCATTTAATGCTAAAACGCACTGCGGATGTGTAAAAAGACAAAACTAAATCAATGACAATATTACTGTGTAAAATGATGACATTCAGTCATACCGTAGGCGTAGCGCATGTTAATAGTCGAAGACAGCATAGACTATAGTTGACTTTGTTTTAGATCTAGCTGATGTTGGTTAATGGTAGAAAGAAGAACTGAAAGTGGTGCTCCTTTATACATGGGAGTAGCTATATGCTTTTATGAATGATAATTCGATAATAAGAGTACCAGTATATCAATATTTGTAGATAAACACATCTACAAACACTGATCTAGCTGTTGTTGATAAACATTTTCCCCACACTATTGAATTTATCCCAGTGTAAGAACCAAAACTAAAACGTCTCAATAAACCCAATTGGAATTATTAACTTGAATTGTAAATAGCTAAAAGATTACTTCGTCTTCGTGTAGTTTTGCTAAACAAAAGAGTCGTGTTTCAGTATGTGGAGCTAATAAAATGGAATGCAAAAACTTACGTGGGTTAGAGAGAAAAATTTTCTCCTCAGTGAAATCATGAGTTATTACTTTATTACTTAAGTTATAGTCAAAACCAAATCATTCAAATTGAAGCAGTTTCCATTTTTACTTCATATTTTAAGCAGCGCTCATGCAGTCTGCATGCTTGATTTGCTCGATCTCTGGATCAGTATATGGTTACTATTGCTGTATTTGGTTACTCGTGCTACTTTATATCATTGTATATCACTTACGATTAAAGCTACTTAGAGGATTAAACTACTTACGTTCAGGTGGAATGACAATATTCAGTCTCGTGTGGCACTCTTCACCTGTGATGTAGAGCGTTTGATTTGTTGGGTTTTTCCAACGTAAGTTATCTCCAACTCGGACAATGCTGTTTAGATCACAAACACCAGTACTTGCTATATTGTGTATGTTCTCTCCTGTCACAAAGAGGAATAGAAAGCTGAAGAATAGAATATTTGAAGTCGACATCTTAAAACTTTGAAACTAGGTCCCAATACTTGTTACTCGTCTCACACTACTTCAGTTATGCTGTGATGAATGCGGAATATGACGATCTATTTATACAGTAATTGAGCATGACAAGTAATCTAATTTTCTCGATTGACGGCAATTGTTACTTTTAAGCCACACCGAACGCTATTGTAGAACAGGAAACAGTTCGGAGCTGAGGGCATTGCAATTAGCAGGCCATATGTTCCGAAATCCGTTTATTGCAACCACTCTGAAATCTTTTTACAACCATTTTACGATGAAAACGTTTAGTGAGAAATTCTACGAATTCTTTATTGTAACATTTTTACGATTCCCCTATTGCGTGGGAACCAATTAAAACTGGCACGACTCTTATCGTTCATGTCATGTTGTTTTTTAGCAGTTTATCTACACATATACATCCACAAGACAACATCATCACAACAGACCACCAACCAATACACGTTATACAACGTGAGAAAATCTCAAAGTATAACACTGTACCTTTTATAGGTGGCTTTAGCACAAAAGTAGATGGAGGGTAAGTCATGAGATTTTTTCAGTGTAAAAGCCCTCCATATAATATCCATTTACACTGAACAGTAGCTGAGCAGTATGATGAAAGCTATCCCTACATGATTATTGATTACTTCAAAAACTCATTAATTATTCAAAAAGCAACTAATATCCAATCTGGTGTAGGAAATTAATCACGTGCATGCGTCAAATACAATAGTCGACTATTGTGATACAAATTAGAGAGGATTTCCATATAAAGATTCTTTATACAGAGTGTATAAAGTTAATTATACGTTTATAGGTTTTCTGTTTTCGTGTTTATAAAGATCAGGCTTTTAGCTGTCAAATGACACCTATCACAATGGGATAAACCGAAACGTGGCGTATTTCTTTGTTTCCTGAGCATTAGAGTGGAACTAATGACTTTGACACAAAAGAAAATGCTATAATACGTTACGAGCGAAGTGGAAAAATGACTTATGCCTGTTTTCCTCTTCAACCGTATCGTACGTACCGTAGCATTTTCTTCAGTGTGTCGAAGTCATTAGTTCCACACTACCGCTCAGGAAACAAAAAGAAACACGCTACGTTTCGGTACGATTGAAGTGGAAAACTGGCTTAAGCCACTTTTGCACTTCGACCCTATCGTAGCATTTTCCTTTGTATCGAAGTCATTAGTTCCACTCTAGTGCTCAGGAAACAAAGAAATATGCTACGCTTCGCTACGATTGAAGTGGGAAACTGGCTTTAAAAGCTCTGCGGAGAAGAGTGCACGTATATTACGTGAATTTTGTATTACGTAAGCAAGAGTGTTGTACTGATAAAAGTAAATAAAAATTCTGATACGTAAGTCTGGACATTCTACTGGGGCAAATAATGTACATAATAGATGAACTTTCACCGTCAGATTATAAAACGTCATTTACTTTGCTGAAGGTTGTCGTAGTAAGTGAGAAACCTAAAGATGAAAACTGTTGTGACTGTCAGTATAACAAATGACATGCAGCATGAGTAGTGCCTTACGCTGTCACGTCGAACGCGTAAATAGTATTATAGTAAATGATCTAGAATGAGTTTGTTGAAGCAGCAAGGCTACTGAACCTTCAGTGTAGGTGTATATTTATCTTTATCTATATATCATCAATTAATCTGTGTATAGTGAATTATCAACCTGATGGGTTTTCACTTAGCTGAAGTGAAAACCCTGAGTATCAGGGTGCATATTATCTGCAGTACATAATTGGACAGAATAAACTAAAGTCAAGAACAATAACACTGTGATTGTTCAACTGTTATTGTTCAAAGAGTTCAATCTTATAAAAGCACAGTTTGCATGCTGACTTTTGTTTTTTGACAGTCACATGAAGAACATATTTTTAGTGTCATGCACCTAGAAATAATGACAAGCATGCGATTCTCAAATGTTGAGAGCATTCCAGTACCAATTGTGACGATACCAGTTTAGTTCTATATTTTAATCTTATGACAATATTTGTTTTTTAGTTTCTGAAAACATTTTCGGATGTTGGAAGTTCGGTGCGAGAGTCGACGTTGACGTTTTCGGAATTTCTGGACAAGATGGCAGATTGCCAACCAAAGTTTGTCTTGATCAAGCAAAACCTTTGATGTTTGCAGATGACACTAATATCTCTGCATTTGCGGAGTCCGTAGATGAATTGGAGGCAAAATTAAACTCCGATCTTAGTAATATCTATCAATGGTAATTAATGACGTTTCTAAAACAGAATATATGATTATTGGCTCCAGTTAATATCTAAGTAAGATATAATCATAGATTAATGTAGATCGGAGAATTAAAATTGGCGGCGAATCTATTAATAGAGTTAAAACAACAAAAAGTCTTAGCATGCATGGTCATTGACGATAAGTTGAATGGGAGGACCACATTGACAGCATCAGCAAAAAAGTTTCAAGCGGAATAGGAGCGATAAAATTGATCAAGCCTTATGTTCCAAAGGATTCTTAGGGTTCCAAAGGAGCAACTACTATGGAATAGTCAAATTGATTAAATAAATAATGCTACATAATGCTAAATAATGATAAAACGAAGAATGCAATATACTGTGGGACTTTAATGTGCAAACGCGGATCACGTGATTGAAGCTAGACGCCCAGATATGATTATCATCGATAAAACAAAGAGAGTATGCCAAATTGTTGATTTTGCAATTCCTTACGATACAAGAGTAAACACGAAGGAAGTTGAAAAGATAGAAAAATACCAAGATCTTGCCAGAAAACTAGGAAAGCCATGGAAAATGAAAGTGGTCATCATTGATTCTAGTAATTATATCAGGACGTTATAGGAACAACACCAAAACACATTGTAAATGGATGACATATAGGAATTAAGGCAAGGATATTGGAGTTGCATTTATTATTCATTCTTCTAGGATCCTCAGGAAAGTTCTAGATATTTGTTGTCTGTATTTCAGAACTAAACACCGCTGACGATATGGTCAATGTGACACTGATAAATAATAATAATAATGGAATGAAAAGATTGAAAGATGACATACGAGAACCGTTTAACAATGAGAAAGACTTACCGGACAAGTATAGAGAAATGTACAACACAGTATTTTGGGAAAGCGAGACGATGAGAAAAATATTATCTGGACTGTTGACATAAGTTGTCTTCTGATAATAGCTGACAAACATTGACAGCTCATGCTTTTCCCTGATTTTCTTCTCATCTTAATTCCGGATTGAACCTAAGTGAAGCGAAGGGCACTGGCCGGCATTACAATACTCTTTTAGATTATTATTATTAGGGTTTTATGAATTGTAGTATTTACTTATAGACGCATCATTGACATTGTATTGTTGTTTAATTCGAAAATAATAATGGAAACTTTATTGCCATAAATAGTAAAAGTAGCTCCACTAATATGATAATATATACAGTAAATGTGCGACTCATGTGCTTCTCTCCGTAAAGTTAATAATAATTATACAATACTTAATCAGGAGGTCCACTCACAAAAGTGGAGCCTTGAGAAAAAAACAAACTAAAATATATACTAAATAATATATACTACTAATAGTAATGATAATGAAGATATTAATGACTAATGTCTTACAGTGACAAATGATTCTTAAGTTTAATTATAAATGCTGTAAATTGTTCTCTATAATACTCATATAGTTTCGCCAAAATTGGAAGAAATAACTGTGGAAATAAAACAATTATTGATGAATTATAAACTCAATTCAAGTGGGCAAATTTCAAAACTTGCATCCGTTTGTGAATTTTTCACTCAGTGCCCTTAGAAAATCCTGTTTTAACAGTCTGGACAAACGGTACATGAAATAAAATATTTATCATGGTAACTAGATACGAATATACTGTGAACAAAACGTACTGTATAGTGTATAGAGCATACGTACTATACTTTTCTGTTTGTGGTTATGATTATGATTATTAAGCTCACTCCCCATCGGGGCTTTTCAGTGACCGATTACATGAAGTATTATGCTTACTTATATTACCTGCTATAAAGCTTAGACTATTTCTTTTTACGACAATTGTGATATTACTTCCTAACTACCAGGTGATCTCGTGTTCGTATTTTAGCCAATCAGCGCTCAGAAAGGGTTGTCCGAATAGAAATCCATTTTCATGTATTCAGTCAATTATATCTTTCGTTATTCTTTATGAAACTAGTTGAAATTTTGTTATTATGTTTGGTTATGAGAACAATAGCTCTGACAAAAATATGGAATCGAAATAAAGTATATTACAGGAGATATTCAGTTGTTTTAATCATAAAATGGATTTCTATTTGACAACTAGTGCCAGTACTTTTCCGCGTATCAAGATCATCTGGTATGTTTACCCTAACCCACCCTGTCAACTTTACCTGTGGGAGGAAACCGGAGGGCCTGGAGAAAACTCACGACTTTCGGCAGAGCGTTGACAGACTTTTTTCACATGAGTCCACCCACGTACATGAGTCCATATAGCGAGAATCGAACCCACGATCTCAAGAGGTGAAAGGCGCTTGCTCTAAGCACCACGTATGCAATAATAACTAAATTATTATAGAGGCCATTTTAGAGACTCTGCAAACAATATTTGTAATAGACTCAACAATCAATCGATAGGACTGACAAGGGCACTCGGCGATCGACAAGCCATATTTGAGGATTTCTATGTATTGCGGACAAAATTGACCGAGGAAAGCATCATTTCAAACATGCCAAAAAAATAAGGTAGAAACCTCGCTTTAATTTATGTTATAAAATCATTAATAATTCATGAAGAAAATTCAAAAGAAGATCGGCTGGTCATGTTTTATCTAGTATTTAAAATGGTGAAGAACAATTTCTTGCTATATTTTTATTTTTGATGCAATTCTTCTGTTATACTTTGACACGACATCGAATTACAACACAAGAAATGCACTATTCTTCTGCACAAATCTTGCAGAAAAAACATAAAAAACGCACGCTAGCAGATAAAGGAATAGGCTCGGATTCTAGTCAAAACTCTTTCGATCTATACTATTAAAACAAAAGTGAAAAAGTATTTTCTGCAGTTACATTATTATGTAATTTAATTAAGTAAATTATGTACATACTGTACTATTATAACCTTTGACACCATGCAGTATTTTCATGTAGTAAATATCAAGTTTGCGTGAGTGGAGAACGTAAATTAACAGGTGGCCCTACCTTCTAATTATATAGTTCTAATTGAGATGTTGATAGATCAATTGATATCTGTCTAAAAATACAATACATGAACATGTTTACTTGAAAGGAACTACACGTGCGGTTAATTTACAAAATGTATTTTCAGTATACAAAAGCTGTTTTTCAGTAATAGAATCAAGGTTTTTCCAGGGGTTAAGAACAAGAACATATAGCATTAACCAAAAATTAACCATGCACTTACCAACAGTTTGATGATGCATTTACTGCATGTGCACGAAGGTAATTTTAAGCGCAACTTTATATGTACGACGCACAATTATTTTTTCGTTATTTATATGAGTTTGGTCTACAAATTACATGCACATGTGAAATATAAACATAAACATACAGTTAACGAGCTAAAAGCGAAACAAAAGATCTTTGCTTATCTCACGAATTTGAAGCAGGCATATGGCGTTAGCCGTTAAGTGCATTACAGAATGGACAAAATTAAGTTTAAATTGGACAAAGAATTTCATGTGTTCAAATTCCAAACAAGCACGTTCTGTGCAACAGTCAAACAACAAGAGCTCAATATATACGCGCCTGAGATTTCTACACGCCTTTCTAAATAAATTATTTACAGTCGAGTGTATAGTTTATAATCGTTTCCGTGTATCTATTGACCACGATCATGATAGGATTAATATACGTTAGTTTCCGTTATATTGTTATATCTTGCCATTCTTGGCAAGTAAAGAACTATAGCTGAAATGTATGTTGAGAATAAGTTACTCACTTCTCTCGCAATTTATTTAAGGAATTTATTATTAATTTTACATAACGTTATTTCATGCACGTATAATATGCTAATTTTAAACAACACCACACAGTATTTGCGCTAACAAACACAAATAAATGAGGTTAAACAAGGTGAATGAGTTTATCTCTGACCTTAATGTTAAACACATTCTAAGGTCCGTTCAGGCATTTACAGAATCAGTGTCATAATCTAAGACATTCATTATGCAATGTCAATGGGTATAATTAAAGGTATAATTTATATTTTACGTATCATTTACACAATGGTATAATTATGTGTTTGATGAGTATGGTAAAGTCAGTTTGAAAAGTCAACATAAACGTTTTGCTCTCAACACTTTAATAGGGTGATTTTTGAAATCCTTGACGGCTCATAAAGGTCATCATCCTTAAGGGCGTTGCGAGACAGGCTTGTAATCCTCTTTTAGAACATAGAAAGGCTAATAAATGTCTGGAACCTGTAAAACGTCTTCGTTGCAAACAAAGGTCCTTCGGATACAGTAAAAACTGGATAATCATGCAATGGTTATTGTTACTCTCTAGTATCCTAAAACATTAAAACTATAAACATTTGGAGGAATGCAATCATATAGGTCAAACAATGAGTGGCTGGTACGTATAGAGAACAGTGGGGTTTTCAAACCAATGGAATTAATGTATTGGCAAATTAGATCTTCACCGGATACTGTTATATTGCTTCGTTAATTAATGAAAGGATATTCAAGTGAGAAATGACAAATCCTTTAAAAAATTCCATTCATTCGCCCGATAGTTTAAAGTCAAAAACAAGTGATAAATGATCGGATGGAAAATCAACACTTGGCAACGCCGCCTTTCCAATAATATCCTTTGAAGGAACCTCAAGGAAATTCCGCGCAATAAATTCCGAAGAATGCCACACGTAGTCGATTGTGTGGCACACTTCTCCTTTTGGCCTGAATTTCCATGTCGTAAACTGAGCCTCGTGCTTTGCGGCAATCAGATACGCACTTTTTAAGCCATTCTCCCGCATTTCCTGATAAATAGGCTCATTGGGTGTGGCGTTAAAATCACCACATACTAAAACTGGTAAATCTTTGGTGCTGCTTCCCATGCCACATTTCGTTTGTCTAAGATTTAAAAGAAGATCCTTCCCTTGCGCTAGCCGTATCATTTCGTTTCCTTCTTTAGCTTTTAGATGTGTAACCGCTGCCAGAAATTTATGGTTAGTTAGAAGATCATTTAGAATGACAATAATAGCAATCTGATTTGACGCCAAGCCATGGTCATCTTTAAGAACTACTTCCTGTAATTCCATAATTTCCAAGCGATTTTCCCTGACGAATACAGCACAACCGTCAGGTGAAGTATGCCCTGGCACACGCAGACAGGGAGAATCAGGTTTGGCCACGAAGGTGCCTGAGTAACCATGCGCTTTTAATTTAGGTGAAAAATAATCATGAAAGTGATCAACTTCTTCCAAACAAACGACATCAGGTGAGTACAGGAGAATGTCTTGCAGAATACGTTCTTGACGTGCTGGCCAGCCGAGCACTTCAGGAGCGCATTTTATGAAGTTTTCTGTTGGCGATGAGTAACTAAGAGCTAAAAAATAGACATACATATACTGAGATTAAAAAAAAATAAAATCGGTAAGGTAATATGTTTCGAATCATATTCAAAGTCATCAATTATCAAAAGTATTAATCAGTTTTGAACAGCGGATTCAACATATAAACTTGAATTTTGTGTAACTGCATGTACAGGGTCGTAGCGACCGGGGTGTATGTGGGGGGGTGCAACTCCCCCCCCCCCCCTTGATAATTGCTCATGAGCGATTTCAGTTAAATTTTCAGGTAAACCTCCGGGCATAAAAGAGTAAACTCTATGGTCTGAATCAGAATTAGAGTTAACAATCGACCAACTAAAGACGTTGAGAGGCGTCATGGCAGAGGGACAAGGACAAATACCATTTCTGACGATCTGGAGACTCCAAATTTCCAAAATTTTCTCAAGTTTCTTAGTCACATTAAACTGTAATAATACTTATCTTCATTGTTAGGCAATACTAAAATATTGAAAAAAATCCAGGTAAGTCTAACCTCTCCCCCCCCC